AAAAAAAAAAAAAAAATAAATTTAACTTAATCACGCAAGATAGCAACAATAAAGTAATAAATATACTTCTGGTACAAATTTAGGAGGCACTGCAGAATTAACTCTGCAGTAAATCATGACCACTTGTAAGCATTTATTTATGCAACCCATCGATCATTTAAGAAAAAGAGCTTGCGCAAGTACACCACTACCACAATGAATGTAGTTACGTTACGACGAGCAAACAGTCTAAATCACAACTGTAAAAATTTGAACTTTTCTACGTTAGAAAAAAAAAATTTCTCTAATGAAACTCATCCGTACTGTACGTTTGTAAGTATAGGTCATATGTTTTTACACACTCAAACCCGATAGCAGTACTCCACCCACAACAGCTCTGCTGTCTGCTCATTTACACAGCTGACGCGAGCGCTGGCACGAGACTTGACGGCGAGCAACATCTCGTTTCATAAAAAAACAGAGTAAAAAAAAAAAGACGAATGAAGCAAGCTAACGTCGTTTAATTCCACAAAAAAAACCACGTGAGCGAGCTTGCAAAACTTCCTCTTTAAAAAAGACTTTCCACCAGACACTTTGAACTCCCGCCGGTGTACCACATGTCATTCCACAAACGCGAAGCTGATGCTACTGATGCTAGGCGATGATTAGTATTTTTTTTTTTTTTTCCATTTCACACCAAGATTTCAATTACACAGTACGAGCACGGGTCTTTTTTTTTACTGTAGCAGCAGATAGGAATGTCTCGTTCGGGTTAGTGCGTGTGTCATCGTTTTAATGCGCGTGCCTGTGCATCGTGAGTATATATTTTTGTACTTTGTCCTAATTGAATTCTTCTCCGGGGAGAAATTCACACTAGGACTGTCTTTAATACCACACACGAGCATGTGTATGTAGATACCATCTGCATACAAGTACTTGGCACGTGTTTTTAATTTTAATTTTCATCATTTAGGTGTGTTTGCGTGTGCGTACACACGAATTACATACTTATTACCGCTTTTATTGAGTCGACTATAGTAATTTTTTTTTTTTTTTTTTTTTTTTAACGAAGCATAAGTTGTTCTAATTGTTGCAATCTTTATCATCGATTTAGGACGTGATTGAAAATTAAAATACTCCTAAAAAGGGTCCTGCGAGTGTCGTCTGAAAGTAGCACGTACATTACATGACACTTCGAGAAAAGAGTATTCGCAATTGAAGAGACGGAGGTGGGGGGATCGATGACCCAATGGGAAAAAAGAGGAGGAGGAAAAGCGGGAGAGATGCAGCCGAGGGTTTAAATTTAGCGTTTCAAAGAGAAGCATGAGCTCTCCCAGGAAGCGATTTCGGTAAACTATTACGCGCGCGCGTTGCGCTAATGTGCTTTTTTTTCGGACCGTGACCCGAATATATTTTCTCTCTCTCTCTCTCGTAATAGTGACACATCGAATTTGTTAAGCATGATACTTTCGTCTTGCACTTTTTGCCTTTGGTATCAAATTTTTCGCTTAAAATTGCATGTTTGACATCGTAAAGGTTTTATTTTATTTTCATTTTTTAATTTTAATTGTTTTAAACGCAGTGACGGGCAAAAAAAATCAAAAAAAGATCTCAAGGTAATTTCCCAACGGTCATCTGCTTGCGTCACGATTTCTTAGTGATAGCTAAAAAAAAAACAAATAAATTAATGCACCCACGCAACGGGTCATCCGATCGACAATTTTAAAATAGACGCTACATGCAGCGGATGCATATGTTTTCTCTGAAGGAAAATAAATTCTCAGCTGCCAAACACTGTGACTCTGGGCAGATTACTTGCAATGAAAATTTGTATTGTGCATAACTTAATTGATCATCAACAAAAACTAAATAACTAACATTTTTTTGTGCACGATATTTGCGGAGTATAAGTTATAAATAATATTGAATCACAAAGCGATTTATTGCGCTTATATACCAATTTTTTTTTTTTTTTTTTAATATTACTCATTAAGAGTAATATTTTCTGTACAATGATAAATAAAAATGTGCATAATCCTTGTGTGCACTGGACATATTCTGCCCCACTCTGCGAAAACTGTTACATTACGTAAATCGATAATATGACTTTTGTTTATCTCCACTGATTTTTATTGACTTTTTTTTACACATGCGCTAGCTCATCGACGGGGTAACCTAAAGCTTACTACTGTGCAAACAAAGTAGAGTTATGAATTAATCACCAATACATATACATATATCAGCGTTTTTCCAGCGCGAAGAGAGCGAACTAGGTTATTCATCTAATTGATTCAACGAGTACGTCGAAGAGAAATTTTCAATGTCACGATGATTGTAAAGTGGTTTTCTTTTCTCGATGTGACGTGTCGACGAAACGTTGAACTTATATAGATAAGATTAAGTGTCACTCGGCTTAGCTTCCGTTTATCCAATAGCACGTTCCGTTGAAAATTCACGTGTGAAAGTGACTAAAAAATTTAATGGATGCTAAATGATTTTTGAGCATAAGATCTCATGGCTTGTTTACTCCCATTGTGGAGTAACAATAGGTTTAATTGGTTCAAATTTAAAACGTATAATAAATACCATTGCTCTGAAAAATCAATACGTACAAATCGGTATAAATACAGCGGAGTGCATAATATATTATATAAAAAAATTTTATTTGTTACTTACTGTGATCATCAATACAATATATTATAATAATTTTAACAATAAAATATGCATGAAACATTTATATGATCATTATGTATGAGAACAATTATTCTAAACTCTACGACACATATAATGCAAAGTGTGTATGTATAAGTATTTTAGTGCACGATGAACTTAATGGTTTCACACATATGCATTTTTGTGAAGTAAACAAGTTTAATGTGTGAAAATATGATTATGATCACAATAACTAATGACCACATAGCAATTATTTTATGGATTAATAAAACATTTATCAGTGATCTAGTGCTTGGTTGGTGGTGAGGAAGACTTTCCAGAGCATAAATGAAAACTAGAGAGCCAATTCCATTCTACCTGCTTGGAAAAGTCACTTGCGTGTATTTTTCATTAAACACTTAATCATATATGCTCTATATACTTTCGAAATGATTGATTGACGCAACATTGAAAAATGGGTTTCTGTTTGAGATAATGAAAAGCGATTTGTTGTCAATTGCCACATTGTTTGATGATGATTTGTCATTCCTTTTTTTTAGTTTTAGTTGGACTGTTTTTTTTTTTTTTTTTTTTAATTTGTTGAATGATCGTACTGTAGTCAAAAGTTGAATATATAATCATACCAATATATGGGGCAGGAGTCTCGCTCTGTTTAACCTCCTCTTTATGGGAGCTATCCAAAGCATCTATAATGTAAATATACATATCATGTTACTATTGATTGAAACAACAATACTGGTGATGGACATAAACTTAGTTCTAGAAACATTTTATATATTTACAAGAAAAGTAGAAATAGAAGACTATGTTCTTAAAGAGACTTATAAATAAATTGTTTTTTTTAGGAAACTATCGATGATAGTGAGAAAAAAATACGAGTTCAAATTCACACTGCAAAAGACTATTATGCCATTTTTGAAAAAGATATTTTCATTTTTTAAAAGAAATTCGAGTTACTTACAACGTTTTTATCTTTGTCAACGAGAATCTGAATAAGTACTTTTTTATCAGCAATACCACGAGTTTTAATTATAGTACAAGTAACAGGTGTGATTTACAAGTAAACTAGAGATTATACATGAAATGTTTTGTCACAAAAAGGAGGGTCTAGTCAAAAAATGACAACGGAATTTTACTCAATAAATTCAAAATAACGAAAAAAATGCATTTAGTATCTCACAATCGAGACACTGATTGAGCAAAATTTTGTCTTTAAATATATAGTGTTATTATACATTTTTCAATTTTTGGAAAATCAACAAAAAGTAAATACATACAAATGCGTGAGATTCCAAAAAGTAATCGACAAATAAATGCATTAAAAAAATTGTATTTTAATACTGATTGAAATTAATAATTATTAATTTCAATTTATTTATGTTACTAATTATAATTAGTAACATAAATAAAGTAAAATTAATGAAGTAACACTTAATAACAATTTTGATTGATTTGGTGCGCAGTTGTCAAGATAACAACAAAATAAAGATAAAATTGTAAATGCGCTCATTCAATCATATACCCCAAGGGATCAACACAACCATCTCAACTAAATTAAATTTGATTTATCTTCCTGTAATCCTTTTTTAACAAACACCGTCTCTAAGAAAGTAATCCCAGGTCTTTCAATAACTGCTCGCAGAGAAAAGTTCTGCATCTCTTGGATTTGCTCGATAACTCGGAAAGAAAGCGATAGGGAGGGTGGGGCAGGCAGAGCACGGCGGCTCAGCATGGCACCCTCATAATATCAATAATCATAGACTTAAAAAATCGAATTTTGCCATAAGAGAGATGAACGATTTTATTATTTATCGCTCGCTACACCTGGTGTATTTTTTCTTGCAAAAATCAGCCGCTGGTGTCCTCAACACGAATCGTAATTGTAAAAAAAAAAAAAAAAAAAAAAAAAAAAAAAAAAAAAAAAATAGGTCGCAATTGTTTAAACGGTTTATTAACGAGAAGGAGGTTTACAAAAAATACTTGATCGATGGGAGCTATCCAAAGCATCTATAATGTAAATATACATAATACCCTGCTGGACCCACTGCGATGATTTTCACAGAAAAAAAAAAAAAAAAAAAAGAAATTTAACTTAATCACGCAAGATAGCNAATAAATAAAAATAGAAATGGTTGCAAAATTAACAATGAATAAAAACAAAACGCCTTTTTGTCCCTGTAGGAAAAATTGTTCCCAAGCCCCCAGGATAAGTACACCGCGATGACCCACAGAGTCACGGTGAGGGAATCACCTGCGCTGCGCCTGTCGCACGTATAAGGCACACACCCGGGGCGTGCGCCCCTATACCCTATATCCTTAAACTCAGTTCCCCACCCACCAAAGGGGATACACGTACAAGGCACATGTACCTTTATATAACTCCTCTCTCTCTCTCTCTCTCTCTCTCTCTCTCGAGCATCAGACGGACACTCCACTCTTTGCTCGCTCCGTTATAATACATACGAGCGCACACACGCGGACGTTCACTCCCTCCGCGACGACGCGAAAATGGCAGCCCCGCTCGGCCGCCTGCTTCTGATGGCACCGTATATAGGTATATGTAATATCGGAGCAATGTATCACGGCAATGTATATAATTCATATAAATAAGCTCGCGATCCGATTACTTGCGGGACTGAACTTTTTTCCTCTTTTCCAGCGGTTGCTTTCTGCTTCCGAGTGCAAATCAAGTTGGAGTGAAACAACTAGGGAGAGTAAAAATACAGTCGCTGCGCATCTCACCGACATGACAAACTATCCTTTTGCTTTACCAAATGAAAAAAAAAAAAAAAAAAAAGTGATCACATGAATTTCTTCAACCATAGGTAGAAGAAAGAGGGTGTCATTAGCACACATACGCAGCAAAAGAGCCATTGACCCGCAAACCCCGTTAGCGCGCAGAGAAGAAAGCAAAAGTACCCGATCACACGCCCAATCTCAATCGCCTCCTCCTACATCACAGAGAAAGAGAGAGAGAGAGAGAGAGAGAGAGAGAGAGAGAGAGAGAGAGAGAGAGAGAGTAAAAAACATATAAATGAAACGAGTATACGTATGAAAGTAAGCGAGGTAAGTACACAGTATGCCTTTGGTGGTCCTCGAGAGAGAGAGAGAGAAAGAGAGATGCGATATATCTTGGACCTTGATGCTTTTCGGCTGTGCGAGCCGCCATGCGTGACTCTGGATTATTGACCCAGTTCCAGCGCGCAAGTTCTCTTCCCTTTACCCTCTGCCTGACCCACCCCCCTTGTGCGTACAACCCCCCTGACGGATGTATTTTAAGGAGAGCCAAGTTCTTCTTCTTCTTCTTTTTCAACCCTCTTTTCTTCTCCTTTCCTTTTTTCATTCCTCTCCTCGTCGCGTGTACATATATGTACATGCAATTGATCTATTTTTCCCCCCGCTTTTCACCCCCCCCCCATGTATCTCTGTTGGTCCGAATCGACGCACGTGTACGGGTTATTAAGTACTCCGCGCAATCACTCGCGTAATAGCTCGCTACGACGAAGCACCACTTGATTTTTCTTAAAGAAAAAAAAAAAAAAGTCTCCCGCATTTATTTCTAAAAATATACTTATGCATCCGCTGCGCCATCAGCATGAGCCGTGCATTATAAATCCGGTGTACATACGTATACGTATACAACCGTGTCTTTTTTCTCTCTCTCTTCTCCGGGGGAGGCGCGGCGTTCGATGTTTTCGCGCAAGGCGCTATATACAGAAGCACATACGTTTCCTCCTGATATGTGTGTGTCTGTTTCTCTCCTCCCCCTTCCCTCGTGGGCTGTTAAATATAGATTCATCGACTTTGGGCCATCAGAAAAAAAAGGAAAGCCACTGCGTTGGAACAAAAGTTATGTACGTAATTATATTCTCGACCCTGTAACTGCTTCCTTTTTTCTTTCTTTCCTCGATTTTCATTCCGATCGATCAAAACACTCCAATGAGCCGGATTTGACGATATCCACGCACAACTTGATCTTATTTTTCTGCACTTTCGATTAAATCACCTTCCCCCCTCCCTCTCGTTTGAAATTAATGAAGCTTGCCGATCTCATCAATATATGATACGTACACATACATATTATATGAATATACATTAGCTGGCAACGGGAAGGAGAAATTATTTTTCATCAGTATTAATATGGACATGTGGCTGCGTATATAATTGATGGGCGCTCGTTTGATTCGATCGCGCGTTACTAATCCGATCGAATTCGTCAACCACTACGGATATTTTATATCAATAACACCCCTCTAAGTGTGTGATGTTGCTAGAATTTGATTTTGTTGTTTCCTTCGATCAGCAGTACGAAGATACACAAAAATAAAAAAAAAAAAAAAAAAAAATTGCCAGTAACCTGCAGCACCAAACACGAGCTTGTATACAAGTATACACTGAGAGAATGATTTGTTAGTGATAAACTTCATATGTTAACTATTAACTTACGTATAATATGGTGCCATCTGACGTGGGGCAGGTTCAATGTAAATATGGCACTATTAACATGTCGCCTGTGTCAGTTAAAATTTAATAAGTTATAAGGAATATATAAGCTAATTTTCTGTTAACATATACTTGTACGTTAACAGTAAACAAATACTTCTCTCAGTGTAGCTACGCAAGTAACACGCAGAGGTCAAGGAGAAAAACCTTTGTGACGATGATGATTTTCCCTTGTACTCATTAAATGTACGTGTATACTCGTCGACACCTACGTTAGCGAGCAAAACGCTCGAGTTATTATTATAGCTTGTCGTCGCATTGATGTCGCGCAAACGAGACATTAATTTACCTGATTAACGATTGATTGGTAGCTACAACTGATACATTTTTTTCCCCTCCCTCCAATCGATAGAAAAGTGTCGAAACAAGTACATATGTATTTTTTCTATGAAGGAAAAAAAAAGGTTTGGCTCCAATTATACTTGATCTTGCACTCTTTTACGTATACCAAAGAGAGAGTTAATCGTTGGAAAATGATGTCGATTATCAATGAAAATAAACAAATAACCATAAATCAAAGCGGCAAAGACAAGCTCGTTCGTATATTTATAAGCTCGATTCAATTAAAAATAAACCCCACGGGCGTGCGCCTCTTGAAAGAGCTCAGCTGATTTCGCAACACCTGTATCATACGTATGTATATTTTTTTCATTTCGCGCACCCGCAACATGATATTATTTACCCTCCACTGTCGTTTCATTGACCGGCAACCCTATACATGTCTCTACAAGCTCGAAGATGAAATAAATAAAAATAGAAATGGTTGCAAAATTAACAATGAATAAAAACAAAACGCCTTTTTGTCCCTGTAGGAAAAATTGTTCCCAAGCCCCCAGGATAAGTACACCGCGATGACCCACAGAGTCACGGTGAGGGAATCACCTGCGCTGCGCCTGTCGCACGTATAAGGCACACACCCGGGGCGTGCGCCCCTATACCCTATATCCTTAAACTCAGTTCCCCACCCACCAAAGGGGATACACGTACAAGGCACATGTACCTTTATATAACTCCTCTCTCTCTCTCTCTCTCTCTCTCTCTCTCGAGCATCAGACGGACACTCCACTCTTTGCTCGCTCCGTTATAATACATACGAGCGCACACACGCGGACGTTCACTCCCTCCGCGACGACGCGAAAATGGCAGCCCCGCTCGGCCGCCTGCTTCTGATGGCACCGTATATAGGTATATGTAATATCGGAGCAATGTATCACGGCAATGTATATAATATATATATACGTGTAGGCGTGCGCGCGGCCGCCCGGAAAACCGGGACTGTCGTCGTCGTCGTCTTCGACTCCCCCTTGAATATATAAATCCTCCTCCACGCCTCATCCCCCCAGGAAACCGTGTTTTCTTTTCTCTCCATCGTTGTTGCGTGGCAGTTCGGAGGGGTTGGGTTGTTGCGCGCGAGGGCGAATCTAAGGAGGGGTGGTGGGTCGGATTGGGAAGTGCGTGTGCTCTGATGGAGAGGGAATGTAGGTAAAGGGAGGAAGCGATGAATGAAAGGGCTCTCTCTAGCCTACTGTTACACTGTCCGTGGGGGGCGAAGGAATTTTTTTTTTTTTTTTCTTCTTTTTTTTCTTTTTTTTTTTTACATAAGTACGATTGAAACGTTTGTGTGTGGAGTTTTCATTTGGACTATTATTTCTCCTCGCGTGTGCTTTGTCGGATGTTTTGTAAATGGCGTGTCGTGATGTCACTCTGACATGAGCATTATCCATAGTGTCAAGGTGAAGATTAGATAGCGCAGGAGAAAAACACAAAAAAAATTTTTAAAATGTCAATGGCATGTTCCTTTGTTTGTGTGTGTACAAAGATTTGTGTTGATCAAAAGATTCAAAGTCAGAAGTGCGCTGAAGAAACAAAATATTTGTCAATTGCGGTTTACTACATATTAGGATGCCTGCCTTGGCGTGACTAACAGTTGCACACACACGTGATAATAATTAAAGAGCTGCACTGCTTGGTACATACAGCAGACGTCTGCTATATTGATTTCTGATAATCAATGGGGAAGAAAATTTAAGGGATGCACTCACTCTCTCTTGTCCGTTAGACTTGATTATTTACGGTAGTTGGATAGAACTGCACTAATACCAAACACTGCCATTTATCAATGTATCGATTTTCAAAACAGAACTGAATCATTTCTTTTTGTAAACATGTTTTGAGTGTGGGGTAATATTCATTCCTGAAGCATTAAACATGCTTATTTAATCTGTGGCCCTGAAAACACTTGTATTCTAAATATTTGACAATAATAATGGAAATAAAATTTTTCTTTGCATTACAAAATAATAAAAAAACCTCTATTCGTCAACTGGAAGATCAAAGAAATATTCATTACAAAACATAACCTTAAATCTCATCATTTTGCTGCTCTCCTATCAGAGTTACATGTATATTGCCAACTTTTAGTAAAAGGTAGTTGTTTTAGTATTATAATCAACAACTACTTTAAATTATATTTACTGAATGCTGATTTCTGTTTTTAAAAAACAGATGAAATCGTGGGTACTTAAATTTTTGTTAAAAATTGCCAACATCAATTATTTATTTACACGTAATTGAAAAATTCCTCTTCTATATATTATTGATTATGTACACTTTGATGAGAAGTTTCTCAGCAGTAATTTGTAGACTTTTACATTATTTGACGTAAATATTGAAGATGTACATAGGAAATAAACGATTCAGTAAGAACAAATTTTCATTTTTAATATGTTAATTGAAATAGGTATGTAGACTATTCCACATGAATAAATAAAAAAATTTCACTCTAAATAAACCATTTTTACCATACATTATTAGGTCCTATTCATCCTCATAAAAATTTATGTTTTGCACATATACCAATATCAAGCAAGTGTCCCTCAAACAATTGGAGCTTAATCAAGTATGTGAATTAAATTATACTAGCAGATCCCATAAAAGCATGCCTAGTGTAAAAATTCAGTAAAACCACAAGAGTACTGTAGACATGGTAAAGTAGAATGGGCAAGGTGAAATATATATCACATCTTATGGTACTCACTGCTTATCTTCATGCCACCAAGTGGTGGATTCGCGGGTGGCTTGTTGCCCTCAGCAAAGGAGGTGGTCCTGGGTCGGCCGCTCATCCTGCCTCTATTTCTCCAGCACTACTACAGCGGCCCGGCCGCAGCCTCCTCCACCTTCTTCTTTTCGTCTCTGTTCCCTTGATAGGCCTCAAGTTTCTCAGCTTACAACCAGTCAAGCTGAGAAAACTCTTTTTCTAATTTTGTTCTAGTTTCTCTTTCCCCTTTCTTTTCTTTGTGGTGGTGAGCAGCTGTCTTTTTTTTGAGAGAATAGCAATTAGCTAGTCACCTTACTGACTCTGCAATACTGTGGTTCATGTGTAATACACTTAATTGGAATATTTGCACTTTTCCTCTACTGCTGTTTCTTGTGATAATGCATACACATAACTTTTTATCACATTTCACACACCATTGGAATAAAAAAACAACAACCATGGACAACCATCACTTTTGACAATTAATCGAATCTCGATCTGCCTGTGTGGCAATAACCTTCACTTGACGACTCTTAGATGAGCCAATCTACCCCAACGTATAGGGGGGGCTGTGATTTCACCTGGACATTTGGACAGACGGACAGACAGAGTGACTACGTCATTCGTGTTCTTGCAGTACACCCCCAAAGAGTTTCTATCTACTCTGCTGGAGCGCACGCAGGGGTATATTCTAGAGGATGACGAGTACGGGTCGCCAAGCAAGGCTACTGCTAAACACGAACACACGCACACAGACACAACTTCGGAGCACAGAGTAGGAACGCCGTTACACCCGGACTGTACTGCTGCTGCGACGACTTTCTCGCTCTGCTTCTATATAAAATAGCCGCTGCTTTGGAGAGTGAGCGCGCGGGCGAGAGAGAGATACAGAGGGGCGGGGGACCAAGGGCCTCTCCTTCGCGTACTTTCTCTCTTCTGCACTCCGCACACGCACTCACACGCACGCACGGACACCACCAACACCACCTTCACCTTTTCCGCAGTAGACTTTTCTTCTTCTTCTTCTTCTCCTTGGAATCGACCTATCTTCCGGGGGTTGATGGCTCTAGCTCGTGCTCCGGTGGAGCAGGCAAGCAGCAGATCGTCCTCGTCCTCCTCCTCCTCTGCTGCTACTTCTTCAGCCGTCGTCGTCGTAGGCGCTCCTACTTTAGGCTGGAGCCTGGAGCTGCTGCTGCTACTAATTTGGCTCCTCCTCTCCTCGCTTGATGCTCGCTCTCTCTCGCGCCTCCGGATGATACCTAGCGGTCGACGTTTTCCAAACTGGGAGTAGCAGCGGCGCGCGCAGGAACAGCGCACGCGCGCTCCGTTTGCTAAATGCTACACTACTCCCTACACTTGGCGAGGTACCAGAGGCTCTTTCTCTTTCTTTCCACCGTCTTCCACTGGGTATACCTTCTTCTTCTGCTGCTCCTAGAGTGGTTCTTTGCTTCAGCTCTTCTTCTGATGCCTCCTGTGAATGTATTTGCTTGTTCTATACGACAGATTGCAAATTTGGTGGATGGACGGCAGCAGATGGATTTACTTACAACGCGGATAGCAGGGAGATGCTTTTTTTTTCTTTTTGTTTTATTGTTTTTTTTTATCAAGCGGAGAGCTACACTTTAAAACCGATCGGTGGCTCCGATTTGGAGCACAGCGTTGATGGTCTCTCGGTTAGTGCGCGCGCACCAACAACGACAACGACAGCGGTTTCTCTTTTTTCACTCCAGACTCTCTTTTTTTCTCCTCGGGTTGTATATTATTCTTCAGCTGCTGCTACTTCCTAGAAGAGACAATTTAAATTAATTTGTATGTTTTCCTTATTTATACGGAAAAAAAATTTCATTACTTTTAAAGAGGTATACGACATGAAAGTTTGTATACAGTATACACAAAATTCAGAGCACATGTATGCATACACACATACTTAGCATTTAATGCTTATAGGTATATTTTTTTTTTTATATTACAGTGTACTAACCTCTGAGAGGTAGTACACTATAGGTATATTTACGTGGTTGAGAAGGTTAGCAGAAGACAAAATTTTGCGAGAATTTTGAGACGCACATCTATTAGTACATTACAGGGAAAGGTCGCGATTATTGAAAGTTGGGGGAAAAGGTGACGATTTTAGAGCTTTAGATCGAACGCTTCGAGTTGATGTAAATGTTTTTTTGTAATGCCATGCGTGTATCAGGAAACAGATGCAGGTATTTAGACAAAATTCACAAACAAATTCGACAGAAAAAAATAAAAATGACAAAGTAAAGATTACATTAATTAAATTGATTAGACAAGGGGACGCAGAGGATAAGATATCTCCGTCGACCCACGCATCCTAACCTACAAACTACGCACTAGTGTCAAGAGTGTCAAACCATTAGGTATAGAAATCTGCGACATTCGAAGAGCATGGCACTGCATGACGAAGTTGAACGATATTTACTGTATTTTAAACCTTATTTTATGAGTTATAGAGAAGTAAACTGCTTATAATTCGCGAATAGCACTAAACAAATAATTGGATCGTTGCCTCTATCCGTCTAACTGTGTGCAAGGAAAAAGCACAAGCATATTACCTATACATACACTTGGTTTCCCGAAATTGACTTAACACGAAAACACGACGATCCAATTCAAAAAGATAGGTTATTGGCACTGCAACATCAATCAAGGAGCCCAGTGAAGGCTCCGTCTGTGATCGTTGACAACCAGCTGATGACTGCTGGCAGCGGTGCAGCTTCTTTTTCTGGTATACCCTCTACAAGAGAAGAGTATTAGGTATCTGGTGGAGCGGTCCACTTCATTTACAACGCAAAAAAAGTGTAATTACTATCCGGCTGATTGCGCGGTCGTCGCCGTCGTCATCGTGTACAGCATAAATGCACAAACTGACGAGAACTTTTTACCTCTCTGCTCCTCATCCCTCTACTGCGTTGCTTGAACTAAAAACTGTATAATATATTATACTGAAAATGCAGACACCCCCTCTCCGCCATTGACCACACATTGCTCGGATGCTTGGATTGCTTGGTCTTGCAATTTCTTTCTCTCTAAACAATTAGTTTTTTCTTGCGAGTTCATCGTGTATAGTGCAATTAGCGCCATCTAGCGTTGCGGATTTTGCGGACCGACGCAAACTATTTTCTAGGGGAACCGTCTTGAAAAAGTCCCTAGAATCTAGGGATTTCTGGAAGAAGTAAATCCCTAGATGCATATAGATATACTACAGTAGGTCGAAAATCGCATACGTCAAGGGTCTATATTTGCGTGCTTCGAAATACGCAATTCGGGTAGATGGTCACATGCATATATAAAAATACTTAAATTTGTCAAAAATGTAACAGTTGTCACCCACGCATGCCTCGCTTTGGTTATATAGTATATATCAAAGCACGCAAATAGACCCCCAAAGTTTATCGGTGGACGTCGACGTGCAATTCGACGGTTCGATCGAAATTGCATTACGATCTAGCGCCATCTAGCGTTGCAAATCCTGCTGTTCTGACAGTCGACACAAGATAAAAGAGAGACCTGCAGTTTGTCCGAGTCGTTCAACCGTCGGTACATCACCGATAATATCAGCCCTGCTGTATCGACAGTTGACCGATGCATTGTGCCGACGCTTTACCGACGACGAGGTCTATACTATCTGATGGAGGGTGTTTTCCGCGATCGCGTCACCAGCAAGTTATAAAAGTGGGTTGCGCTCTACGTTACCATCAGGTCGGTAAGTCAACTACCTTGACCAAATAAGTAGAATATCTGTACTTTCGAGGTCGATTTTCGGGTAAACAATAAATTGTAAACTTGCCGCAAATAGCATATAAAATGTTAACTTATTATTTTATATTTATCAAATTAGTTGCGGCTGGTTTATAATTAATTAAATGGATCTAATATAAGAAGTAATAATCATTTAGATCAGCGCCATCTAGCGTTGCGAATTTCTGAACTAAAAAGTGGCCCTAAACTTTTGAACCAGAGCTTTAGCGCGTAGAGCCATTTAGTCAGTTATAAACCAGCCGCAACTCATGATAAAGCTATAGAATGAAAAAAAAACGATACATGTGTTTTTGGTGGCAAGTTAACAATCTATTTTCTACCAAAAAATCGACCTCCTATGTGTTTGTACTTTTAAAGATAAATTTTTGAGTACAAAATAGATTGTTACCTTGCCGCCAAAAACACATGTATCGTCATTTTTTTGTTTTATAGCTTTATCATGAGTTGCGGCTGGTTTGTAATTGATTAAATAGCTCAAATCCTGAATGCTCTGGTTGAGAATTTTAGGAGCCACTTTTGGCCAAAAAATAAAGACCGCTAGATGGCGCTGATCCAAAATAATTATTGCTACTTACAGTAAAGTCACTTTATTATGGTTATAAACCAGCCGCAACTAATCTTATAGATAGATAATAAAAAGCAAACATTTTTTGTGCACTTGCGGCAAGTTTACAATTTATCTTTTACCTTAAAATCGACCTCCAAAACCATCAATATTCTACTTATCTTATATGGCTCATAAAATCGACAATATTTACAAAATTTTAATACTCTAGACCTTTTACCATTAACTCATGTAAGCACAAATTAATCAGTCCAAAAGAGACAATCGAAGAAAAAAGGCCTGAAAAAGAAGCACAGTCACACGAAAAGTCTCATAAGAATGGAGCATTGGATCTCACTTGATCAGAGAAGGTTGGGTTCTTTGTTTACTTATAATACTTCAAACTTACATCTCTGTAACAAATGTATTTTTCAGTTAGTGAGATCCAATGCTCCATTCCTAGGAGACTCTTCCTGTGACTGCTTCTTTTTAAGACCTTTTTTCTTCGGTTGTCTCTTTTCGACTGATTAATTAACGTGTATATTTGATCGTGATTTACGATTTCTGTAACACAAATTTTGTTATGTACATGTTATATAAGTTAACTGTTTATTGGAAATCTAAAGTTGAAGGGCTTTTCTTTCATTGGTTAATGGTAAAAGGTCAAGAGTATTGTATTTTTGTAAATATTGTCGATTTTATGAGCCATATAAGATAAGTAGAATATTGATAGTTTTGGAGGTCGATTTTAAGGTAAAAGATAAATTGTAAACTTGCCGCAAGTGCACAAAAAATGTTTGCTTTTTATTATCTATCTATAAGATTAGTTGCGGCTGGTTTATAACCATAATAAAGTGACTTTACTGTAAGTAGCAATAATTATTTTGGATCAGCGCCATCTAGCGGTCTTTATTTTTTGGCCAAAAGTGGCTCCTAAAATTCTCAACCAGAGCATTCAGGATTTGAGCTATTTAATCAATTACAAACCAGCCGCAACTCATGATAAAGCTATAAAACAAAAAAATGACGATACATGTGTTTTTGGCGGCAAGGTAACAATCTATTTTGTACTCAAAAATTTATCTTTAAAAGTACAAACACATAGGAGGTCGATTTTTTGGTAGAAAATAGATTGTTAACTTGCCACCAAAAACACATATATCGTTTTTTTTTCATTCTATAGCTTCATAATAAGTTGCGGCTGGTTTATAACTGATTAAATGGCTCTACGCGCTAAAGCTCTGGCTCAAAAGTTTAGGGCCACTTTTTAGTTCAGAAATCCGCAACGCTAGATGGCGCTGATCGAAATAATTATTACTTCTTATATTAGAGCCATTTAATTAATTATAAACCAGCCGCAACTAATTTCATAGATAGATAATAAAAAGTTGACGTGGTTTGTGCTGTTTGTGGCAAGTTTACGATCTATTTTTTACCCAAAAATCGATCTCCAAAAATACAAACATTTACATGGTTTAATAAAATCGACCATATGGCATTACTTAGTAGTAATTACTTTAATTACTACACATAACTTCATGTACATCTTACACCGTGCTCTCTTTACCAGAATGATAAAATCAGAGGCTGTAAAGTTACGTAGGTCGCCTGCGTAATACAAAACGCTAGATGGCGCTGACACACCTCGCACGTCGTCTCGTCTCGTCGTCTTTGTCTGTGGAACAGACATTTTGCACTGTTAGCCAGTAAATAAAGAAAAATAATAATAATAGTATCGGTATATAAGCATCAAAGTGCCTCTCTTTTTTTACATCGTATCACATTCAAGATATACACATTAAATAGTGTCTTCCACACTTATTGCAAGACAGTAGCATCGTAAGTGTTATTCAGCAGCGAATGATATGGTATGCTTGTAGTCATCGATTGAAGGAAAGAGTTGAGGTTGTTTGTAAAAAGTTGTGCTTTAGCCGGCCGGTTGTGCGTGCACATTAATTCTTCACATACCTACTCCTCTTTTTTTCCTCCTCTCACCTTCCCTGCGCGGCAGTTGTGTATACGTGGTCAGTTTTTTGTATTCACACTCGGTTCTTTGGTGTATTTTGTATTCTGCTTGTGTTTCCGAGGCGAGGAGCGTGCTCAGTGGTTTTTGCTCGCCCTGAATTAACTGTAGCTGTTAGTTGGATGATTTTTATGTACCCAAAGATTGTTTATCAAGTCACTTTGGGTTTGCTTTCTTGAAAAAGAATCAACAGTTTTTCTTATCCTATTTTTTAAATACATTTCAGATCCACCATGGGGGTTCTTTTGAAAACCAAAGGACTTCGCATGTCCGCCCAGAAACAGGAGACTCTATTGAAACTCACCGTTCTCTCCTGTGCTGCTATTCTGTGTATGTTACTGTACAACTCTTTTTGTTTACATTTTACTTGCTTGTTGATTAAAATTTTTACCTTTCAGCTTTTGCGACGCGTTTGTTTTCCGTACTCAAGTTTGAAAGTGTCATCCATGAGTTTGATCCATACTTCAACTATAGAACAACAAAGTTCTTGGCCGAAGAGGGTTTTTACAATTTTTTGAACTGGTTTGACGATCGAGTGTGGTATCCGCTTGGCAGAATCATCGGAGGTATTTACATTCTTGATTTTTTTTGTACTATTGATAATAAAGTTTAGGTCTTATCGACGACAATATTTATTACAGGCACGATATATCCAGGCTTGATGGTTACTTCTGCAGCTTTTTACCATTTGGCATGGCTCTTAAACATTACTATAGATATCAGGAACGTCTGTGTCTTTCTTGCTCCGCTGTTTTCAAGTTTTACAACTATTGTAACATATTTACTTACAAAGGAATTGAAAGTAAGCTTGCATCATCGTAATTTAAATACGCTGCTTTAAACTGATGTGTCTTGGATAAAAATGCACATTACTGAGTCGTTTATTTTCCAAGGATTCGGCGTCAGGACTGTTTGCAGCAGCTATGATTGCCATAGTCCCAGGTTACATTTCCAGATCAGTGGCAGGATCATATGATAACGAAGGGATCGCGATTTTCTGTATGTTGTTCACCTATTACATGTGGATAAAGGCTGTGAAAACAGGAACGATTTTCTGGGCTACGTGTACAGCTCTTGCCTACTTTTACATGGTGTCGTCCTGGGGTGGATACGTCTTTTTGATTAATTTGATTCCCTTACACGTTTTAACTCTGATGGTCACAGGGCGATTCTCTCACAGAATTTACGTGGCCTACAGCATTTTATACTGCCTTGGAACAATATTTTCCATGCAGATACCGTTTGTCGGATTCCAGCCTGTTCAGAGCTCTGAGCACATGCTTGTAAGTCTGATACTTTGTAATTATTTTGCCAAGCATTAATGAAACGAGTTTAAATTTGCAAATTTTATACAGGCATTCTTAGTTTTTGGCATGTGCCAGATCCACGCCTTTGTCGACTACCTCCGTAGCAAATTAACTTCGCACGACTTTGAAGTGCTCTTCCAAGGGCTCGTCATTTCAACGGTGATCGTGTCCGTCGTCATTGGTACTATTTTAACTATTACCGGCAAAATTTCTCCATGGACTGGAAGATTCTATTCCCTCTTGGATCCATCCTATGCCAAGAATCACATTCCAATCATCGCGTCCGTCTCGGAGCACCAGCCGACCTCTTGGAGCTCTTTTTACTTTGATTTACAGATTTTAGTCTTCCTATTCCCTGCAGGATTATACTTTTGCTTTTCTAAGCTGACTGATTCAAATATATTTTTGATTCTTTATGGAGCCACGAGTCTTTACTTCGCTGTGAGTCAATTAATTTTTTTTATCAAGACTTTTTCTCTGAGTACTAGTAATTTAAATTAAAAAAAAAAAAAATTATTTCCTAGGGTGTGATGGTGAGATTGATGTTGGTGCTGGCGCCTGTAATGTGCATTTTGGGAGGAATTGGTGCTTCTTCTTTACTTCTTAAATACATGAAAGACATGGACAGTACGAAAGTCGTCGATAAGAAAGCTAAGAAATTTGAAAGCAACTATGTTCTGAGGAGCCAGGTACGTTATATTCAAATAAAAATAGCAGCTTAATTTACGATTATTACAATCTAAAATTTTCTATGCGTTTCTATGTTTAATTAAAAGACAAAAACGTACAATCAGCACTGTTTGATACTGATTCTTGCATTTATACTTTTTAGATTGCAACGTTGTTTGTCGTCGTGATGTGCATTCTTTTCTTCTCGTACACTTACCATTGCACATGGGTTACTGTTGAAGCTTACAGTTCACCCAGTATTGTACTATCAGCCAGATCTCCGGATGGTGGCAGGATGATTTTTGATGATTTTAGAGAAGCCTACTACTGGCTTCGTATGAATACTCCCGAGGCTTGTACATTTGTTTTCATCTCTGATCATTTCGATGTCATTGAATATCTAATCTCGTGTGTATCACATTTCAGGATGCAAAAGTGATGTCTTGGTGGGATTATGGGTATCAAATAACGGCAATGGCAAATCGAACGATATTAGTAGACAATAATACGTGGAATAATACGCATATATCTAGGGTAGGACAAGCGATGGCAAGCAGTGAAGAAAAGTCTTATGAAATCATGAGAGAACTCGATGTTAACTACGTTCTAGTTATCTTTGGTGGACTGACAGGATACTCATCAGATGGTGAGAACAAAAAAAATATTCCCGTGGGTTCTTTCAAGTGTTAAATTACTATTGAATGTTTTCTATTTTACACTAGATCTTAACAAATTCTTGTGGATGGTGAGAATCGCGGGAAGTACGGAGAAGGGAAAGTCGATATCGGAGTGGGACTATTACAATCCCGCTGGTGAATTCCGAGTCGACAAGGAGGGAACTCCCACGCTACTTAACTGTCTAATGTACAAAATGTGCTACTACAAATTCGGCCAGGTTTACACTGAACAAGGTAATGCATGGTATTTTTTTAATTAACTTATATTTGATAAACGTATTTATTTACAAATCATTAAAGACTAAGATTTTTAAAAAGATTCGCATGTGCGCAACATAATTGATTGCAAAATTATAAATCATGATAGAACATATTCTTTCCTCTTACATTGGACTTTCATCGTAATTATATTACAAGTTGAAGTTGTAACGTGAATAAGCAATTTTATTACTTAGTTAATGTTACTTGAATGGATTCAAATACATTATACTTAGGACTAAATATAATATCATGGAATTGTAGTACTTAATCATACTTAACGTACAACTATTAAAAATACAGACTAAACTTAGATCTCTTAGTTCCTTCCATCCAAAAAATTTATCTAATACGTATTAGTACAATCGCTCTTTGAGGTCTTTATAAAAAAACGTCAGTTTAATCTGGAAAATAATGCACTCAAGTGTTCTTTGAAATCAAAAAAGAAATACATATCTTTCGAATTCAGGTAAACGATCTGGTTACGATCGTGTGAGGAACATGGAAATCGGTAACAAGGACTTTGAACTCACTACCCTTGAGGAGGCCTACACGACGGAGCACTGGCTTGTTCGTATTTATAAAGTGAAAGACTTGAGGAATCGAGGCAACTGACGATTATTTACAAGTTCCTTGCAACGACAATTCACGAGACATTGATTCTTCTCGGACTTCTCAGTGAGATAAAGAAAAAAAATAGACGGAAAAAAACCATAAGATTTGTATAACATTTTTTTAATGATAAAAAAAGCGCAAACAGTGTGGAATGTTTTTACTCGATTTTATAGAAAACTGTTGTCCAACGCACCATGTACACAAATGTATCAACAGATGTGAGAACTTTTTTCAAAGACAGAAAAAATATATTACTTATTACTTTTTCATCAAAGTTTTTCCGAGAAACATTAAGACTTACATTTTCTTTCGTTATCTCTATAAAAATTATAACTACATTATAACATAATATCCTTATCAACAATATTAAAATACACGCTTAATGTGACAGGTGTGTCTTTATTGTTTATGATGATAAGAGTTTAAATTAGAACATAACTTGCTTGACTGAATAAAAAGAAAAAAAAGAACACTTTGCTACATAAAAATGTAATCTTAAGTAGAATATATATATATATCTTTAAATTGACTCACTATATCAATACCAATATAGAGAGCAAAGAAGAGAGTCGACGTGTTTTTTGCCACTGTTCTCCATTGACATGGCACACAAAAATTCATTCATAATGGTTGAGAAGTATTAGAAAAAAAAAAAAAAAAAATTAATGCACAATTCAACAATTTACACGTCTACAGTATTATACAATTTCTCTTTTCTCATAGGCATACAAGAAAAATCGTTATCATTAGTATCATTCAACATCTTATATCGACTTACAAAAGAAGTATTGAAAAATAAAAGAAAGAACGATATTACAGTACATAGAGAGACAATATTACAACGTCCTACCATTAAAAAAAAAAAAAGAGAGAGAGAAAACTGAGTATTTCATGAATATACATACAAGTGTATATAGAGGTACGAATTGCAGAGAACAGGAGTGTGTACATCGTATAGGAGTGGTGAGAATCGGCGTGTGATGAAAAAAAAAAAAAAAGTATAGAGGTGAGAGAGAAAGAAAATCGAATATCTAGTCCCACTCGCCGATGAACATGGCGCGAGGCGCCGGTGGTATCACGCCCCTCGTTGGGATCGGTAACCTTCCGTAAATGTGATTGTATGGAGAATCGATTCTGTCGTCGGAATCTGGAAACGAACAAAAAAGAAACAACGTTTCAGTCATATGGTGTGAGTCAAGCTTGTTTTTCATAAAAATTCAACTTTTTAATAATAAAAAAAAAAAAGAGAGAGAGAGAGAATTACTCACCGAGTCCACTCTCGAAGCTCCTGGTGTGGTACATGATGGGCGGCCGCTTGGCCGAAGCTGGTAGGGCCGCGACTTGGTGTCCGTAGATCTGAGCCGACTGGCCGATCTGAGCTGACGCGGAGTAGTTTTGCGCGGCGATGTAGCCGGGATGGTGATGGTGGTGCTGCTGTTGGAGGCTGGCGCGACTAGTCGAGTGTCCATATGCAGCTGCTGGGAGTTTTCCACTGGGGCGCTCTAGGCCATTGCTCTTGGCCATTTTCACAAAGTTCGGGACGCGCGCTCGTAGGCCGCAGTAGTAGGGATCGTCTGTGGAATGTTTTTTTTTTTTTTTTTTCGGGTCAATGGAATACTTAGTTTTTGGCTTGAAATTTTTTTTTTCCTGCTAAAGACTCACCGTATTTCTTGATGTTTTCCTTTTTACTCTTTTTGTCTTCCATAACAGGTGCTCTCACGGGGCCCGACATGTAGTCGTCCTCTATGTCGTCGTAGTCCGGCTGCAATTGATACATTTCAATCATCTACTTGTTGTTATTTATCATTATTATTTTTTTTGTTGCCACCAAAAAACACTTGTGCGGTGAAGATAAAAATCGAGGCAGGTCGTACAGTATTTTGTTTGGTTTGTTGTTTAAAAATAAAAACAGTGCCATTATTACCATACATTTTGTTTACTCGTCTGTGATTATTTATGAAAAAATATCAAAAGAAAACAAAACGACCGAACAGTCCTCGTTTGTGCAGTTATGAAGGTATGTGCAGGTGAGGAAAACAGAAAAACCAGAAAAAACGTGCGCATGAAGTAAGTATACAACGTAAAATCGTGATATTGGAAGTGAAGAAAAAAAAAAAAACGTACCTTAACGTAAACCTGCCTCGGCATCTTAAAATACAATACACAAAATACAATTACAAAAGCCAGGTATATAACATCAAAAGGGCAATAGGGATGTATATTTTATGTAAAATAAAAAAAAACCATATCTAATTTTTTTTTTTATCAAAAATTCATATACTATTACACCGAGGGAAAAATAAAGAAATCCCAAACGTCCGACTCGACAAAAACTGACAGAGATAACAAAAGAAAAAAAAAAAAAAAAAAAAAAAAAAAAACGAAAAGTTACCCAGAATCACGACAAATCGCTCGTGCGACCAACAGCCTTCCCCCCCGCCCCCAAACAACATCAGCACGCTTCTTTATAATTTCGCAAAAAAACCAATGGAGAGGGTCCCACACTCGTAGAGAGAGAGAGAGAGAGAGAGAGAGAGAGAAGCCACGTAGTAACAATTAACCCACTGACCTTGGGTATGTCGTGCCCGTAAAGATTCTCCCTGGGCGGTAGTTTCGGCGGCCGCTCGGCCCTACGATGGGCGAGCCTTGCGTCCCTGTGCTCCTGCTGCTGTTGCTGCTGTTGCTGCTGGTACGCGATGTAAATCGGATCGACCCGGCCGTTCCCGTCGCCCGAGCTGCCCGCCACGCTGTAAGGGTCCTCGTCGGGGATCGGTATGCGCGGCCGGTTCTTTATGTCGACCGGCCTCTGCAGTGCCAGTACTGCGGACAGATCGGTAACGATGACATTCATTACTATATTATCAAGTGTCTAGATGATGTATACGTATAATGTAAGCACATGTGAGCGAAGGACCATGCATACGTCACGAGTAATTTGTACGGGTGTTTTTATTGTTAATGACACGGACGGGTGTCTATATATTTTTTTTTTCTTTTTTTTCGCTCACGACTTTCAGCTGGCCTGGTTTTTTGTTTCCCGATTTACCGGTTTTTTTTTCGCACGATCTCCATGACCATCAACGCTGAAAGGCATATATATGTACTTAGCCGTGGTGTCCTCCGTCGTCGCGAGAGGAGGTATATTATTGCAAATGACTGTGGGAACTTTTTTTTCTTTTTTTTTTCTAATCGCCAGTTCGTGATCCCTGGACTTTTTGAGTTTTTCATGCGTTCAACAAAAGCAGATTATATCGAGCATAGGCGCAATAAATAGGTAGGCATGTGTGTACCTGGAGGTAGCTTCGACTTGAGCATGTCGAGGCCAACGACATTGACGATGAGCACCCAAACGGGGCATTGGAGTATGTCGGGTTCCATGCGAACGAAGACAATGGCGCTGAGACACTGGGTCTCCAGGCGCTTGCGGTCAGGGTAGGCTCGCCGCGTCTCCCGCGAGAGGTTCGTTTGGAATTTGTTCATGTCGAAGAGCTGGGGAGGACAATTTTTGTTGTTGGATGTATATGTATACGTACGGATTTTTTTTCGTACACAATTATTGCGTAATAGTAAAAAGGAAAAACCAACCTTGCCGGGTTTCTCGTGCTCGAGAGCGCCCTGGGAGTTGCGAATGATTTCGGAGCCGATCGCGTTGTCCTCCTGGTGTGTCGACTTTACGTACACGTTGCTCTTGCACAGCCGTTTTATCAGGATGTTGCCCTGCTCGTCCATTTTTATCTTCACGCCTTGGTTTATGTGTCGCTTTGCCTCCTCCGTTTTGCTGTCGCGCATCGGGTTGTCGAAGCCGCACAGGCCTATCCTGGTGTGTTCGAAGGTGATGGTGTTAGTTTTTTTTGTTTTTGTTTTTTTCTCATACTAAAAATATTACGCGACGACTTTGGTCGAAAATCGTTTCGGCAAGTTGGAAAGTATCGGAAATTTTTTTTTCAAAAGTAACTTATTTTCAATACCCTCATGCGGAAAAATAAGAAATGGTGAAATCCCAACTTCATTTTCATGATTTCGAAAGCCACGACAAAAAAACTTTGCCCAACTGAAAAATTTGGGAAATGACGGCGAACTTTACTGACAGTGTATGCATCCACAGGATCTCGTCGCCATCGTATTTAAGAACACTTATTGAAATTGGAAAACAAAAAATAAGAAATGTTTAACATGAGACATACACGTGCTCATCATAAACCGAAATAGAAAGTAACCCAATGAGTCGAGAAAGAAAAAAAATCTAAAATATCATTAACATTTTTCCCAAAACAAAAGCTTAAAAAAATTCCTCGTACGTCCCATATTTATCAGCGTTTAGGATGATAATCGGAACGCGACCGTTAAAATGCATCAACTTTGATGTAATTGCGAGAAATGAGGACGCGGTAGGCAGCACCGCACCAGCAAGAAAGGATAAAAAAGTATGGGCAAAAACCATCCAGCCTCGACTTTCCCGCGTTTAACGCCGTTAATACACACGAGAGGAGAGTTTTCACCTTTTGCGAGAACCACGCTGTACGACTATCATGCATGCACGCGATTTTCTACCGAACTTGTACAAGTACAGACGCGACTCGCGATATGATTCCAGATCGCTTAATATACTTTTGAGAAATTAACAATAACATATAATCAGTTATAGCACATACAAAAGGTATTTGATCGTGAAATCATTTTTGACCTGTTGCCGGTCGTTGTATACGGAGCGATTGACCGTCTATACTTTAAAGTTGAGTTCGCATTGATGCGCCATGAAAGAAATGACTCGAATCAGAGTAAATTGTCATTCAATAGATTTCACAAAGCAACTCTTACTTTTATTTTTTTGCCAAAAAAACTACCGTCTTTTATAATCTTTCACGCTATCCGATATATACCACATTACATCGATTAGAAAGGTGACTTCCTCTCGAAAAGTAAACATTCAAAAACGAACAGCCCATATATAGCCTCTGGCATCATCTCCCCCCCCCCTATCTTCCCTTTGGCTTTTGCCACTAATGCAAATAATATACCACCATATATGTGTAAATTGTGTGCGTTACATCGTCGTCAAGTATAAAAAGAGAGAGCGGAGAAAAATAGCTGAAAGGTGTTTGCGCGCGATGCCGGTGAAAGCGAACACATAACGAAGCCACCACCACCGCGCGATCGGTTCAATTTAGCGTTTCGATTGCTCACGAGCAGGGAAATTTATCGTGCCCCCATATATACGTGTATGTATATATTATATGCGTTTGACGAAACGTCAAAGCCGGAGATTCACGACTTTTCTTTTTTTTCTTTTTTTTTTTTTTTTTTTTACGCGAAAACTAGGTATACCTACGCTTTTTAATTGAACTCGCAAAAATCCACGTTGTTAAAATCAAAGTTTACGTAAAGGCGCGCGATGCGGATATATATATCCGCACGTGAATATAATAATTTCTTCGACGCGTTTACGTAACGCCGATCGAACTCCTGTGTATTATATATACACTTAACGGCTAATTAAAACGCCGTGCTCCATCATTTCTCTGTTCTCTCCCCCCCCTTTTTTTTCCTTCGAATGCATATCGATTCAATTACGTCTTAGAAATTCCATTGCTGTACGACCAAAAATCGGTCATCGCGCCGATTCTCACGAGATGCCAATCGCACCGGGAAGGACAGGACTGACCCCTCCCCACCCCCCTTTGAAATAAGAAAGAAAAAAAGAGACAAACATCAAATGATAAACAAGAAAACAACGTATAGACACACGTACAAGTATCATAAAAGTATCGATTACAGGCGAGCCCAGCCTGTCAGGAAGTCACGACTCTTGCGTTACATGTGAGCTGCTCTAGCTTACGTGCCGATCTTTTCTTTTCCTCCGCTCCCTCCGTCTCTTTCTAGTCTCTCCGTACGCGATACCGATTTCCCTCGTCACACGATCTTGTGCACTACGTGTATGTGTATACATAATATTACGGGCTCGGTATATACTTTGCCCAAGTGCCGAAAGGTGTGCAAAAGTGTAACACACGCCCGGAAGCCAGAGAAATCGGCGAAGGTGTAATATTTTATGCATGCCGATCGCGTAGGTTAATGGAGCGAAAAAAAAAACAGAAAGAAACAGGGTCTGAGTGGGAATTTTCGCTCGAGTTATCACGCAAGGGGCTTTAATTATTGTTTTTTTCTGCCACGGTATTTTTAAGCAAGGGGGCTTTTTTCTTTGCTCTTCCTCGTTCTCTTATTTATATTTTGTGCAGCTTACGCGTATACTCTGATAAGTACCTGTGCGTTAAGTAAATTCCATGGCAGACAAGGAAAAAAAAAAAAAAAAAAAAAAAAAACCGTACGTGTTCACACGTACCTAAAACCATCGAAGCCGTCGTTGGATCCGTTGACCGTGAGCACGGGTGCTCTGGCGTACGCTTTGGCGACGCGCCTGTTCCTCTCGAAGACGATCACCTTCGCCCATATCTCGTCGTCTATCTGGTTCCACTTGTCCAGTACTTCCTGTATGTGGTCCTGCAGCAGCAAAAAAAATTGTTTCTTGCGTTATAAGGGTGCGATAAGCTTATAATAATATACGTGTATGGTTTAAGAAATAAAAAAAAATAGGTGATTGTTGCTGCGATCGGTAAATATCGAGGTGCATTTGAGCTCACGGGGTTGGGTAGCTTTTTCAAGCTTCTAGTGGGGTTGTTACACTAATAATGAACTCGATTTTACGAGTCCCCGGACAAATAAAAACAACAATTGCATCTCCGTTCGCCCGCAACATCCGCAATGCGAACGCGTGGACCTTGTTAATAAATGTAAAAAAAAAAAAAAACCAATCCTAGAAAGATATTCCAACGTGCCCTCGCGTATGTGTTTGTTGAAGGTATACCTATACGGAACCACCTGCGGCCCGTAGCAATAAAGCTGCATACGATACGCAACGCGTATGGCAAGCATGGAGTTAGTTGCCCGTACCTACTCGGGGTTTTACAGTGTGGGTTTTAATACCTATAAACGCGAAGATCCACGCGGTAGAGAGAAAAATCGGGACTCTCTTACATTTTACACGCGGTATATTGTGTATTAATGAATGCGCATACACGCGAGTGATTTTTTTTATTTTATTTAACTACGCGGATTATAGGAGCCATTCTACAAAGAAAAAAAAAAAATAGAAAAAAAAGAGAGATTTTTATCTTCTGCACATGATTGCAAGGATTATGAGACAATTAATTAATAAGGTGGGTGGTGTACTTTTTACGAGAGTTTTCTAGTTGATCAAAGTGCTTCAAGCTGATTCCATTGAGAATAATCTTCTGATTGATAATATTTATTTTTTCTTGATACTCAAGCTTACTCTGTGAAGAAAGTATATTTAAAAATGTCTTCACACACCCCATGGTTTTTAGTAAAAAAATTCCGTTTGTTTATTTTTATTTTGTTCAACATGGAGATTGCAAAAAACAATAAAAGAACTTCCAAAATCAGCACTCGGACAGGATGGCAAAAAAAAAAAATCTACTTATAAGTAAGTGAGAGATAAAAATCTCTGTCCCAAAGGGGTAGTACTTCAAAAACAAATTTTCCCGCTCCCCATAGGATCTCATGCACGACTGGAGTGTTTCCGTGAAGTGGCTCTCTTCGATACCCAAGCCAATATATTTTTACATTTGGCGCGCATCTACGTGCGATCTTTATTATTCGCTCGAAGGCCCGGCACGTCAGCTCCGTTGATCCATTCCCCCAAACATCACAAGAGCATCCATCATAAGCTCAGGCGACCCCCTGCACGTATATCGGGTTTCAGAAAATCTCACTTCCTTGTCGCACCCACCGCGAAATCCGCCCGGAGCCGAGATCGATGGAAACGCCGATTTTCCGTCCAACAGACACCGCCCTGCTGATTTCCCTTCGAAGCTCGATTGAAAAGAAGAAGAAGAAGGGAAAAGAAAAAAGAAAAAGAGGGGCGATTGTTCCCGGGCGCTTTTAGAAAGCGAACTCGAGCCCCCCCCCCCCCGTCCCTCTTCGTCTTCCGGGAGTGGACTGCGGAGCGCTAAGCCGCGGGATAAGAAAGCGAGACACGCAAGAGCTCCAGCTGTTATCTCGCGCCAGCCGGCAGCTATGTGGTTGCTTTACGAGACGCGTTTTATGGGCCGTTCGCTCGTTTGGCGCTATAAGGAGGCGTTGTTTTTATTACCGCAGAGAAAGAGGAGGCATTTCTTTGTTGATTTCGATTTTTTTCTTTTTTTGTTTTTTTTTTGTTTTTGTTTTTGTTTTCCTTCTTTACAAGCTTGTTACAAAGGTGATTAGGGGAGCTGAGGATTTGTAGTAGTTTATATATATATTTAGTTTGGGTCTGGTACACGCGACGAAAAATTGAAAAGCCCAAACGAGCCCGAAAGAGCCAATTTTTCTTTTGTTTGATGCGATAATTACTAAGCGTTATTCTCGAATGTATTTTTGTTACTTTTTTTACTTACAAGTGGTTTTGTTGGAAAAAAAAGTCCACTGCGTGCAGGACTCACACGTGTGGGAGCTCGGATTTTCTTTTGTATCGTAGTAGCTGGTAGTACGTATCCAATGCCTCAATTACTTTGCGGTTAACCGATGCAGAGTTGCTCTTAGGATTTATTAGTTATAAATGAAAAACCTCGAGAAAATGATACAGTTGAACCACAAATGATTGCATATTTGCTCGTTATAACGTCGTTCAAGTATAATTTTAAAATTGCTCCATCGGACAATCTAATTTTGTAATGATTTAAAAGAAATACCTAATTGTATTCACGCCTGTCCGTGATCTATTAAAAAGAAATTAAAAAGAAAAAAATCTTCTTTCATCGGATTTACGAAACAGGGCTAACATCGAATTAAAATCCACTCGGTTTCTCGTTAAAAATCAGAATCCCGAACCAGCCCCTCGTCGCTCCATCACATTCGCATTAGTCCATTTTATAAACCAATTTGGGAAAAAGAGGTATGGTTGCGTAAATGAATACGCGCACCTTTGAATACGCAGGATGAAAAAATCTTTGACGCTACTGGTGCAACAGAGAAACCAGAGAAATCGTCGATTCGAAGAAAGTGAGCGAGGATTTTTTTTCTTCAAATCCGTGCCAACCACGTACGAAATTGAGATCTCAAACCGGGCGCTTTTTTGCATGATTTCTGTTTTGTCGGTCTCTGGAAGTCTACATGGAGTTTTCGTTGATTTTTTTTTTTTTGCCAGTAGCCGAATACAACGCTAACTTTTTTCACTGTTTAGCGAGTGTATAGGTACCAAATAATTAGGAACGTCTTTTTCGTAAAAAAAAATTAAGCTAATATTATTGAAATTTGTCCCCGAACCGTTAAATTAACGAATAAAAATAGTTTGTATTTGCATCCACTAAGAAAATCCTGTATGATGAAGAGAAATCCTAATGTATTTCACGCATTGCTAAAATTTCGCGACTGAAAAAAAAAAAAAAAAAAAAAACGGACTCACAAGGCTTACTCAAAAATTGTTTTAAAGAAATCACCATATACTCGAGAACAACGCGAGTGAAAAAAATAAAAAAAAAGAACAAAAACAAAGAAGAACAAACGACTGCATGTATGCGCCTATTATCCACACCCCGCGTGAGAGCGGCCTATCATTATTTTCTCGAGACTCCAGTTGGACGCACAAACGTTACGATGCCGCGAACGATAAAAAGAAAAAAAAAGGGGGAAGGCAAAAATAAGACGCGCCAGGCGTTTATCGACTATTTACCCCGTGGCGCGTACCTGTCACAGCTTCTCTCGACTGACGTCTTTCTCTTTTTCGAGATTGTTTTTTCAAGCAGTTTATAAGTACTCGGACGTGGGTGCATTTTTTTTAACAATACGCTCTTACGTTCAAAAGGAAATTGTTTATTGCGAAAGTGACAAGACCTTGATTCGGCTTTGCATCATAATTTTTTTTTTTTCCATAAATAGTATAGGCTATTTGCGCCAGAAAAACATTTTTTTTTATTATCATCTGTCATAGAGTAGTTCAAAAAAATTTCTTCCATATTTATTAATTTATTAAAATATTAATCAACTTTTGTTTAACACGGTACTTTTTTAACAAAAATAATACACTACTATTTCAGAAAAAAAATTTGTATTTTATAAAAAAAAATTCCAATTGTAAATGGTTATTACAACGATTACGCGATGTGTTGCACATAATGTACGAAAGAAGTAATAGTTTGTGACTTGCGCTTCTCGGTAATACTTAAACTTCCCGATGATCAACACGTAATTGTCTCGATCGCGATTACTGCGTTTTGCACTGAAATTCACCGATTACCTGAACACAGAATATTAAAAGCAGCTGCTTTTAAAGATTTCGGTTCCGAGGCCTGTAATAAGACTTTGTAATGAATAGGGGGTACTTCGAGCTGGAGGTTACTGATCGAGTGTGCATGTATATGTGTACCGTTTACTTGTAATTGACTCGTATAACTATACGCGATTTTTAATGCATCTCAAAATCGTTTATTAATACATCTATAATCAAAGAGTTAATAGGCGATTTTTCACAATTTCCACATTTAAGTACAAAAGGAGTCTTGAAAATTAAAGTTAAGAGTATGAAAACATTATTTCCTTCAACTTCTTAAAAGGAAGTCATTAAAACTTATTTCTTCTTTATTAACAAGTGTTGTCGACTTTGAGACAAAAGGAAGCTAATGGTCTGGTAAATTACATTAGGCTTTGGATGTACGTAAATGGTGGATCCTACATTTTTGTTGATAAACAAATATGGTGGTAGTAATAATGTCAATACAAAGTGATGACACTGACCTTGTACAGTTTGTCCATGTTATACCAAACATCTTCCTCCTCCTCTTGTTCGTATTGCGTGTCCGCGAGATTGTCTCGCGAGCGCGACAGGATTTTTCGCCTCGACACCATCCCTGTGTGGTATTTTTATATCTGAAACAGAGAAGAAAATTCACATTTATTATTGTTCAATAGTAATACATTTGTACCATTTACGATTAACTTCATCGAAAAGTACAATAACTAATTTAGCGTATGATTTAGACAAAATAACAAAAAAAATGGTATATTTTTCGTAAAAAACAATAGAAGTTGGATATTCTTACATACGAAGTAGTAAAACGTACTTTTTCACGAATTATTCACTGCAACTTTCATTTAGAGTTTTATGTAGTTAGATGTATGATTTTGAAATCATTGGTAAAGAATATCTCTTACAACCCAATTTTTTTTTTCATATACAACCCCCAAAATGTCAAAGTGTCAAAATATGTTTTATGAATACAAAATTGTATCAATATAACTCCCTGTAATATATATATATATACACAACAACACGTGTTAAGTACTATTAAATTGAAAGCTGAAGTTACATACACGTGTGTATTCACAAAACACAATTAGGTATATTGGACTCGAGAGAGTTAAGCAGTAAAGATCGAGAGGGATTATACGTTAATGGAGCACGTACAAGTAAGTATACAACAACAGCAAGGACGCGAGATTAAGTGTTTTTTCGTGCGCGTCGTATTATTGCTTTTTGTCGTAACTTTCAATGCGCTGGACTGCAAAAACAGCAAAGCGTACCTATAAGATCCCGTGCACTACATTTAAATGTGCGCATGCATCTAACTTGCGTAATAACGCAACGAGGGGTTTTTTACAGCTTTCCCGAGCCAGCGGTTCACTAATAGTTTTATTGCATCTCGAAAAAAAGTACACGTAGCTCTCGATTGCCGTTTACGACCCATTTTGTAACACATTTTAAGTGGGGGGCCGAAAAAACGCCCATGCAAATCACGGACAACGTATTATTTTCCTCCACAATTTTTTGATGTACCATTTACAGGTGCGTAACAATATGTAACGCGAGGAACAGTAAAACGCGTTTCTGTCCCCTTCCTTCTTTGTTTTCGGGGCTACTTTCGTAACGGGCCCGTCTGGATTACCGTTTGCTCGCTTTCCTGAGCATTAAATTTTTTTTTTTTTTTTTTTTTTTTTTTTAAGGCTCCATCGTCGGCTCTAATTGTAAGTATAATTGGGTAACTACCTCGGTGGGAATTTAATTTTGCCAAGTTTTGCATGCACTCGGTTTTATGACTTGTATTTAATTAGTTTTGCGAGCAACATTATTTCTTGTTCAGCAAAAGTACGAAAAATTAATAGTAGTGTAGGTAGTATTTGCTACACGTATGAATTGAAATTTTTTTTATGATTTTAATTGGTTTGATTAAATTATTTATTATTTCTCTGAGTTTTAATTGAAAAATAAAAATAAACTCAACTATCTTTGTTGAAAAAAATGCAAATTACGTATCCAAAAAAAAAAACGGCAATTAAGAAATTTAATTCAAAGTTACAACTTATAATTGGAAACGAAAACACAATTTTAATTACTCAGTAAAATACAATTACCAATTAAAACCATTGGTATTGTAATCAATTTATTAATACACGGGACTTTGTTTACACTTATGCTGAAATCTGATTTAATCTCGAGTAGAACATCTAAAAAGCCATTAAATTAAAATTAGTTGAATGAAAGAGATTAAATAAAAATAATTAAAATTAATTCGCATAAAGAAGTGAGAAAGAGAGAGAGAGAGAAAGAGAGAGAGAGAGAGAGAGAGAGAAGGCAAGTGCAGTTACGAAATTTATAAAATCTGATTCATTTTAATATATTACTGCACAAAATAAATCAAATGAATCGAATCTTTGCAGGAAAGCTAGCTGAGCTGGTGATTCGTTTAAATGAAAATCAGATCGATGGCTACTCTATCCAAAACTTCAGAACAAAGAAAAAAGAAACTTTCTGCCCCAGCACTACAGTGCTCAATATTCTGTTGTCGGAACAAAATTAACTCTATCGATCTGCCCCAATGAGACTAGCTTTTTACTTCTTTGTTATTAATTAATTACGAAAAGTTGAGGAAAAAAGTGATCGTTTTCGCTGATTGAGTCGAGGCAAGTATAAAGCGGAAAGGAAAAGTGGAAAGAATCAGTGTTGTGTTTGCACGAGAAAATAAAGATTTCAGACCTGTCAATGTATACAGTACATAATCCCCGATTTCTTTATTACCAAGGCTATAATATACTTAACTGAACATCTTGATCTTTGCTCCTTGCAACGTGTGAGCCATTCAAGGCCAAGTGCACGGGATACTCATTACTAGAGTTGTAAGCTGATTTGCACCTTCTTGTCATGCGATATGGTATGTTATAAAAAAAGGCTTAAGCTGCTGATGACGATTAAACGATCGGAAGCACTCTATTAGCATCGTCAATTCAGATGTCAGTGTATTTTAGTGATTACATTTTTTTCCAGCATTATAACTCCTAAGATGTTGAGATAATATTTTTTTCCTCGGTAAGAATATGATTTATTACATTTTATGTCTAGAGTAGAAATCAAAATTTGCTAACTAATTTTAGTTGTCTCTCACGACACTTACAAAATAGGGCTTTCGGCTAAATAACGGAAATTTCCTACTCTAGTTCTAATGGTTCAATTATTCAAAACTAAACATAGATAAATTTAGTCTATCTTTAAATTTTAATTGATACCTCAAGTTCCGATACAAAATTTCGTTTTACATTTTTTTACCATTGTGATAACAAATTAGTTGCACGATGTTTCATACACGTTTTGAACCTATCAAGGGTCACACGGGGCTTATCATTAACTTATCATAATTAATCTATATTATACCTGTTTTGAAATTTCAACAACAGATAACAACTAAAATTAAAAAAAAATAAGTATCGCATAACTCTCGAGGAGACGTTCATCATTTGGTTGTTTCAAAGATTCCGCTTGGCACGAGGAGCATAAAAAGTATGTGATCATTAATATGCAATTAACGGTCTATTGCACACTACTCAAAGCGAGTACGATATTTTAGAAAACTTTTCTTGCCTAGTATATGCACTGGCTTGTTGGAGTGATGACTGTATTAACCGTAGTTTTTTTTTCACGCCATTGAAGCAAATAGTTTCCTTGTTTAACTGTGTTAACTATTAATTAATCAACAATTGATACATATGTAACTTGTGTATGTATGAGCACATATTAGGCTCACGTGACATAAGAAGTGGATTTTTAGATTAAGTTTTAAATTCGAGGCCATTTTGTTTTTGCGTATCAGAGTCGACGAACTCGGAGCAACGAGTACTTTCACACGATTATTCGATCCAACGAATGGAAATCCATCGTATAGAAAAGGTGAGTTTTTGTTTCAAAATTAACTGATATTCATAGTAATACTGTTTTATACGGTTACAATTTTAATCACAGGCCTAACAGAAAAATAAATCAGCTACCAAACGGCCTGTATCCCATAACCAACATTGGTGACACGGACTCACCAAATATGGCAGAAGATCCTAGTTCATCGAAAACATGGCATCATCGTTGTAACACGTGTGAAATGACTTTTATCTGTGCAGATGATCTTACGGAACACACATACATGCACACGGGAAAAAAATCTTTCCAATGCTCCGTGTGTTCGCAGACATACCGCTCAAGAAGTTACCTAGCAGTTCACATGCGAAGTCACACGGGAGAAAAACCCTATATTTGCAACATATGTCATAAAGCTTTTACGCGTAGTTATTCTCTTACTTTGCATATGCGTATTCACGTGGATGAAAAACCCCATGTTTGCAAAATATGTCACCAAGCTTTCAGGGGTGGTAGCAATCTTTCGCAGCATATGCTTGTGCACACTGATGAAAAACCCTATGTTTGCAAGGTGTGCCAAAAAGGTTTTAGGCGTAGTTATTCTCTTACTTTGCATATGCTTATCCATTCGGACGAAAAACCCCACGTTTGCAATGTGTGCCAAAAAGCTTTTAGGCAAGGACGAACTCTTCATTCTCACATGCTTATCCACACCGGTGAAAAACCCTACGTTTGCAAGGTATGTCATCGAGCTTTCAGGGATAGTAGCAATCTTTCGCAGCACATGCTTATCCACACGGGTGAAAAACCCTTTGTTTGCAACGTGTGCCAAAAAGTTTTTAGGCAACGACATACCCTTCATTCTCACATGCTTATCCACACCGGTGAAAAACCCTACGTTTGCAAGGTATGTCATCGAGCTTTCAGGGATAGTAGCAATTTTTCGCAGCACATGCTTATCCACACCGGTGAAAAACCCTATGTTTGCAAGGTGTGCCAAAAAGCTTTTAGGCAAGGACAAACTCTTCATTCTCACATGCTTATCCACACCGGTGAAAAACCCTACGTTTGCAAGGTGTGCCAAAAAGCTTTTAGGCAAGGACATACCCTTCATTCTCACATGCTTATCCACACGGGTGAAAAACCCCACGTTTGCAATGTGTGCCAAAAAGCTTTTAGGCAAGGACGAACTCTTCAGTCTCACATGCTTATCCACACGGGTGAAAAATCCCATGTTTGCAAGGTGTGCCATGAAGCTTTTAGACGCCACAATCTACTCAAGAAACACATGTTGGCCCATACGAATGAAAATTCCCTTGTTTGCAAGGTGTGCCATGAAGCTTTCAGGGATGATGGTGCCATTTCGATACACGACTGCCCACAAATACACAAGGGACCGAAGCCTTCCGAGACCAGATCAATGAGTACCCCAACATTCAGTGCAAATGGTACTCTCACGTCGCAGGTGTGTGCCCATATCAACTCGAAATGTCAGACATCCTCCAGTCAAAACGAGGACCTCGTGCTTAAGGTGGACCCTAAACTCAATTGGCCATCGCAAACTTCAGTCAAAAAAAGGGGCCTTGCAGGGTCCACTCAACGATGCAAATCCATCTGGTGTGAAACTAGTATTGTCGAAAATGATGATCTTGCTTGGCAGTCCTTCGACTGCGACGAGTGCCAAGGGACTTTTCCCGATGAAAGCAGCCTTAGGCATCACAAATATGTTTACCATTTCTACCGATGTTCGCTGTGTTCGGAAACTTTTAGATTAAACTGGGATCGCTCGACGCACATGGCCCTTTGGCATTGCTACCGATGCCATTTGTGCCATAAAATTTGCACCACATCCTCTGATCTTAAGAGACACGAATGGGAAGCTCACGGACTTTGACTAAGTCATTCTGTATACTGCATGAATTATCTACTGTTGTATTCACTTTACCACCACACAGATTCAAGTAATATTTTACTCGTCTGGACTGAAAAAAAAAAAAAATAGCTGACAGGGCTGTGCTGGCTCTTAAGTACTTTTAAATCATAACAAGGACTGCCTGACTGGAGAATTTTGGTGATGAACAGAAGACGATGGGATGCTAGCTGGTACTTAGAGAGAAGCTACCAAGTACAATGCTAGAAAATGAGCTTGTGTCAGGAATCTGCCATTAAAAAACTGGTGATAAACTAATCACGCGTGGAGTTGTCTTGTAAACAAAACTATTTTATACAAATTCTGAAACAAAAACACACAATGAAATAAAAAAAAAAAACGAAAAAGATCCCTTTTTTTCTCAAGTTTAAGTATTTTATTGTTAATGTAAGCAGCTTTGTACGTCATAACTACAGGTGCATATCTTGTAAATGCGCGCATAATTTAAACAATCCCAATTTTTTCTGATTTACCTTACCAAATTGCCAAATAATATTATAAGGGGTTTTTCGCACTACAATGTTTCTCTCTATAAAATGGAGCAATCAAAAATGTATACAAAGCATTATATGTAAATGATGATATCGACTACAAAACCTTATCTTAACCAAAACTTTACACTTGTAAAAGCTGGCTACATAGTGCCTCAAACGCTTGTTGTTATACAATTAATTGTAAAACCTTAATTTGAATAAACGTGTTTTCAAAGAAAGAAGTAGTATGCCTCCTGGTGAGAAAAATGTTCCTGTATGGTTCAACTCCAGATCAAAGTTTTTTTCTCCCCTCGATAATTTTCAATTGCCATGACTATTCAAATTTACACAAGTTCGCAGTTCTACCTCAACAACTTGTATCATCACCTCTCGGTCTTGGTATGGTAAAGACTACCTCAGAAAAATGGCTTCATTTAACGTACACACGCAAGAACGAGTGAAAATAAGGCCCTCGGATCCTTAGTGAGAAGCAAAGGACGATCGCCGAGAGAGTGTGTGCTTCTGTCGTCCTTTCCCGCGAGTTGTCGCCGACCCGCCAAGGACGGAGGGAAGGATACGACTCTCGTGTACATGTACACACGCTCCCTTAAAGTGGATATCATCGGCGGTATATACTCTCGTGCATTTGTATAAATTCGAGTAAAGCTATTACGCGCTGATGCGTGTACAAAAGAAGGACCGGGACGGAAAATCGTTTTTTAGGGTTATTGGTCTCGCTGGCGCTTTAGAGGGGAGAGCGGCGATATCTCCGGGGCCGCTGCAACCGGATCTTACCAGTCGGATCGTCACTACTCCATTAGGGGAGAAAAAAACCTATATTTTATAACACTCGCGTGTCTCTTACAAATGGCTTTTCGAAATAAAGATAAATCGGCGCGGTACGTGTATATGTACATACCGATTCCCGGATTTTCGCCGGTACAGCTGCGTCTTGACAGATATACACACACTTGTATCAGCTGCCGTTGTCTCGCGGACTCTGAATTGATCTATTATGACATCACCACCTCTCGGTATCTCGCGTACATATAAACACATATTGTCACATGGGCACTCGGTTGCCACGTGGATTTGCAACATCGAGGGAGATTTATGGTATGCCTTCCGCGGAATCGGTGATTTATTTTTGAAGTACACGTATATGCACACGCGTGATGGCTCATAACAGGAGTTAGTTTTCACCGCGTGGAATGACATTTCCCGTAAAATCGAGTGGAAAAGGGAGATTTTCCAAACGAAAAATAGTGAAAAAAAAATGGAGGACTCGAGTGTCCGCGCGTGAGAAACTCGAGTTCTCTTTTTTCCAAGCATCCGTCTCGGCCAGAAGGGAGGGAGGGTAACCTTAGAGGGCATGAATTTTCCTCCCGATAGGCATCTGAAAATCGGTAACGCGAGAACCTTGCGTAAAACTGTACACGTAGCGAAAGAAGGGGTAGGAGGAGTAGACCAACTCACCGTGGCACATATAGTGTACAAACACACGCGGGTAGGAGCTGATTTTTCGGTGAGATTTCGCTCGCGTGAAAAATGTCAGTCCCCGGAAAATGTATGCCGGGGAGCTCGGTGAAATCGATCTCGGCCTTTTTCGCTCACATTAGCCCGGAGGAGGAGTAATTAAAGCCCGCGCGTATATATTATAGCAGCAACAACTCGGGAGTTACGTAAACAATAATCGATGGCCCACGTGGGTCGAAAATTAATGTTTTGCAATTATTTTGGAAAAAAACGAGAGGCAAAGCTCTCCTCCCGCGACTAACGCGTTTCGCACGGTAACGGAGAAACACGCACACCCGCATGATCCCTTTCAATTACACCTGAAAACTTTCACTCGAGTGTCGGTTGCACTCGCGTCCCATGAAAAACCCACCCTTGCCAAAGTGACCAAAGTGAAAAGTCACCTCCCACGCGTTAACCACTCCAAGTAGCGAACTATTGGAATTTAAAAATAAAAGACCGCCCCATCCCCGCGAGCGCGTAAATCTGTCGTTACGCTATCGCGCGAGATGAACGAACGTACATATAGAAGCAGTACACGTATACGTCGCGCCGGAGAATCCCAAGTTCATGAATCAAGTCGGATATCTTTTTCCTGTGCGCGCGCGCGTGCGATTCTAATTTTAGAAGAGAGAGAGAAAAAAGGTGATTCATGCGATCGGCTGCAATTTTGCAATTATTCCTCGGTCGCGGTCGTTCCGTCGCTACTGCGGCGATGGCGCAACCCGCGACGAGTCTCTCGAGTGTGTGCCACACATGTACGCGCGGTTCCGAGCCTCTTATCGTTTTGTTATTGTAATTACCGGCTATACCGTTCCTTCAACGGTGCCAGCATCCGTATATATACAAGCGAGTAATTTTCCTTATTTGTTTTCCTGCTTATTTAATTAAAAAGGCGCGATTTTATTTTCATACGTGGGTGCAATAAACTTACGCGTGAATCATAACGACAATAATCGAACCTCGAAAACAATTTGTCTCGCAACTAATCAAAACCAGCGCGCACGCGAATAATTTGGATACCAGACCCCGGACCTGTACACCTCGGACTGCCCGTAAATTCTCCTGGTCCCTTATCTTTCCAATGTCAAACTAGTGGTTGTCGAGGCAACCCCCACACACCGGTGACTTCGGTAGCTCTTCGGTACTGAGTACGCACTACGCACGCCGACTCAATTCATCATCCTATATAGGTAACACAGCGCTGCCAGGGACGGACCCTCGAGAGCTTCGCACTCGCGCAGGGTGGCTTCGCGCGTCCCGGAGACTTTAACGCGCGAGGTATATACCTACACCTTGCTACGACATGACGTCTGGCTTTTACGCGTCTAAAGTTTGAAAACAACCGCCACCGGAGATTCATGAATATTTATGTACTCAGGCCATGCATTTTGCAGACTCTGGGTAGTCGGAAAAAAAAATTCTGTACTAATGTGCTTTTAAGGATTACTTCCTGCACAAATAGCGGAAGTGTTTCAATCTGAAGTTTTTTCATTTTCATTGTCCTCCTGTGTGCGATACTTTAAATACATTTTTAAAAATTACGAAAAACATTTGGAAATTTTTCTTCTTCTTCAACTTGCATTTTAAGGACGTTTGGTAGAGATAGAACCCTGTGATGAATCTTTTTGAAATTTTAACCAGACGTTTTTATTGTTGTTACAATAAAGCTGTTAAAATTTCAAGAGGTTCGTCTGTTTCGTTTCCGAGATATTGAATTTCAAAGTTCAGTAATTTTAACACGGTCGCTTATGGGGAAACTTATAAAAACTCGGTTTAAAAAAAATTGGCGTGATGAATGTCTCCAATTTTTTTATATGTCACAGATAATGTTATCAACTATATGTATAAAAAGTTTCGTGACGATCGTCTGATTAGTTTATGAATAAAAAAATTAAATAATAGTTCGACAAAAACGTAACGGCAACGTCGCAAGAAGCGAGAAATTCAAAATGTTCCAGGACGTACATTTCAGTAAATATTTGAATATTATGGCAGATATTTATGTATTTCTGTATAAAACATAAGCTTGTATATGTGTGTGAATGTATGTACATAGGTTCCACCCGTACCCATAACAAAACAATGTATTATAATAACACATATTTATTTTTCTTGATAAAATTTTTAATTTGTAATTTTTATACGATTCAACTTTTTTACACACGATAACTAAATCACATGCTTGTAGTAATCGCAGAGACTAGAGTATGTCCTAATTATTTAACATATCACTTCCAATGAGACTTTTCAAGTCACATAAAAATTCAAGAATTTTATTTACATTAGCTACGAATATAATTGTATGTACATATATCTGTCACAAGTCTTTTTAATCATTTACTCATTTTTATTACATTGTTATAACGAATAAAAATCAAATACTTACATCTTTAACACAAATACATTACAAATATACACATACGCTGCCGTAACCGACGCAGCAGACAGTGCAGACACTAGATCTAGAGTTATTAATAACAACTCGGCTATATCGATGAAAAAACAAAAAAAAATCGAGAGTAAGTTGGTACGAAGTATGCGCAATAAAAGAAAAAAAAAAAGAAAAAAAAAAAAGAAAGAAAAAAACCCTCCACAAAGGATTGAAACGTAAGTACAATACGTGTAAATATACACAGTCTGCAGATATCCTTGTAAACACCCATACAGAGGCAAACGGTCAAGCGTCGTATCCGGGGTCCGAAAGACAGTGAAACGGCAGCCACACACACGTATACCCATTACCAGCACGGATTTCGCAAGCCAACGTAACTCTCGCTCTTTTGCCAATACACACACACACACACACACACACACACACACACACACACACACACACACGTATATGCTTACATCCGGGTGCGCGAAGGACCGAAGGCCTTTTGCGTGGATACGTATCTAATCCGAGTCTCTCTCTCTCTATCTATATCTCTCTTGGCGTGGCTGGCCCACTTTTACTAAACGCGCGTATTATGGGCGTGTTTGTGTGCGCTTGTGTCCTTTAACCCTATCTCTCTTTTGTGCGGTGTAAGTTTACATTGTTTCTTATCGTTGTGCTTGTACTTACCGTGTATATTATATATAATATACGGAGTGGGCGGTGGGTACGTATTATGAGTGGTGCAACGGGTGTTCAGTTGTTCACTATTAGGTATGCTGTATAAGGTTTTTATTTTCGCCAGTGCCGGCTCGTGGCAGGTCCGTTCGCTGTTATAAAACTGTTTTCGTTGCTTGATCGCTCTATCGGTTGTGTCGTAAATTGCGATGTCGGTTTGGTACAAGGTCCTACTCGAGGTTTTTTTTTCTGATTTTCATCGCACGAGACGAAAATTGTCGGCTAAAGTGATGTGGCACTTTGAGCTTGTTGCAAAGCAATTTGATGTCCATCCGTAACAGTTTCAAGTTCAAATAGTAGAAAAATTCATTGAGTGGAATAGAGGGAGTCATTAAGGTAAAAAGACAAAGATGCTGTGATAAGCTTTGTGTTTTTGTTGCAAATGCATATATTTATGTACATGTAAAAAATTGTTAACACTTACGTAAGGGCAAACAGAACAATAAAACAACAGAGATAATTACATTAAATTAGACCATCAACATACATCGAAAGACATGAATTTAGAAATGTTAGAGCCCACTAGTAGATACAACAAGACACATAAAAAATCGGCACGTCAGTGTTCAACGATTCAGTTGCGGTATCCCTATAATGATATCGGCACTCTCTTGTTCAGAGGCTCTCGCAGAGAGAAACAACCCTAAAAAACGATTTTCCGTCCCGGTCCTTCTTTTGTACACGCATCAGCGCGTAATAGCTTTACTCGAATTTATACAAATGCACGAGAGTATTATACCGCCGATATCCACTTTAAGGGAGCGTGTGTACATGTACACGAGAGTCGTATCCTTCCCTCCGTCCTTGGCGGGTCGGCGACAACTCGCGGGAAAGGACGACAGAAGCACACACTCTCTCGGCGATCGTCCTTTGCTTCTCACTAAGGATCCGAGGGCCTTATTTTCACTCGTTCTTGCGTGTGTACGTTAAATGAAGCCATTTTTCTGAGGTAGTCTTTACCATACCAAGACCGAGAGGTGATGATACAAGTTGTTGAGGTAGAACTGCGAACTTGTGTAAATTTGAATAGTCATGGCAATTGAAAATTATCGAGGGGAGAAAAAAACTTTGATCTGGAGTTGAACCATACAGGAACATTTTTCTCACCAGGAGGCATACTACTTCTTTCTTTGAAAACACGTTTATTCAAATTAAGGTTTTACAATTAATTGTATAACAACAAGCGTTTGAGGCACTATGTAGCCAGCTTTTACAAGTGTAAAGTTTTGGTTAAGATAAGGTTTTGTAGTCGATATCATCATTTACATATAATGCTTTGTATACATTTTTGATTGCTCCATTTTATAGAGAGAAACATTGTAGTGCGAAAAACCCCTTATAATATTATTTGGCAATTTGGTAAGGTAAATCAGAAAAAATTGGGATTGTTTAAATTATGCGCGCATTTACAAGATATGCACCTGTAGTTATGACGTACAAAGCTGCTTACATTAACAATAAAATACTTAAACTTGAGAAAAAAAGGGATCTTTTTCGTTTTTTTTTTATTTCATTGTGTGTTTTTGTTTCAGAATTTGTATAAAATAGTTTTGTTTACAAGACAACTCCACGCGTGATTAGTTTATCACCAGTTTTTTAATGGCAGATTCCTGACACAAGCTCATTTTCTAGCATTGTACTTGGTAGCTTCTCTCTAAGTACCAGCTAGCATCCCATCGTCTTCTGTTCATCACCAAAATTCTCCAGTCAGGCAGTCCTTGTTATGATTTAAAAGTACTTAAGAGCCAGCACAGCCCTGTCAGCTATTTTTTTTTTTTTTCAGTCCAGACGAGTAAAATATTACTTGAATCTGTGTGGTGGTAAAGTGAATACAACAGTAGATAATTCATGCAGTATACAGAATGACTTAGTCAAAGTCCGTGAGCTTCCCATTCGTGTCTCTTAAGATCAGAGGATGTGGTGCAAATTTTATGGCACAAATGGCATCGGTAGCAATGCCAAAGGGCCATGTGCGTCGAGCGATCCCAGTTTAATCTAAAAGTTTCCGAACACAGCGAACATCGGTAGAAATGGTAAACATATTTGTGATGCCTAAGGCTGCTTTCATCGGGAAAAGTCCCTTGGCACTCGTCGCAGTCGAAGGACTGCCAAGCAAGATCATCATTTTCGACAATACTAGTTTCACACCAGATGGATTTGCATCGTTGAGTGGACCCTGCAAGGCCCCTTTTTTTGACTGAAGTTTGCGATGGCCAATTGAGTTTAGGGTCCACCTTAAGCACGAGGTCCTCGTTTTGACTGGAGGATGTCTGACATTTCGAGTTGATATGGGCACACACCTGCGACGTGAGAGTACCATTTGCACTGAATGTTGGGGTACTCATTGATCTGGTCTCGGAAGGCTTCGGTCCCTTGTGTATTTGTGGGCAGTCGTGTATCGAAATGGCACCATAATCCCTGAAAGCTTCATGGCACACCTTGCAAACAAGGGAATTTTCATTCGTATGGGCCAACATGTGTTTCTTGAGTAGATTGTGGCGTCTAAAAGCTTCATGGCACACCTTGCAAACATGGGATTTTTCACCCGTGTGGATAAGCATGTGAGACTGAAGAGTTCGTCCTTGCCTAAAAGCTTTTTGGCACACATTGCAAACGTGGGGTTTTTCACCCGTGTGGATAAGCATGTGAGAATGAAGGGTATGTCCTTGCCTAAAAGCTTTTTGGCACACATTGCAAACGTAGGGTTTTTCACCCGTGTGGATAAGCATGTGAGAATGAAGGGTATGTCGTTGCCTAAAAGCTTTTTGGCACACATTGCAAACGTAGGGTTTTTCTCCCGTGTGACTTCGCATGTGAACTGCTAGGTAACTTCTTGAGCGGTATGTCTGCGAACACACGGAGCATTGGAAAGATTTTTTTCCCGTGTGCATGTATGTGTGTTCCGTAAGATCATCTGCACAGATAAAAGTCATTTCACACGTGTTACAACGATGATGCCATGTTTTCGATGAACTAGGATCTTCTGCCATATTTGGTGAGTCCGTGTCACCAATGTTGGTTATGGGATACAGGCCGTTTGGTAGCTGATTTATTTTTCTGTTAGGCCTGTGATTAAAATTGTAACCGTATAAAACAGTATTACTATGAATATCAGTTAATTTTGAAACAAAAACTCACCTTTTCTATACGATGGATTTCCATTCGTTGGATCGAATAATCGTGTGAAAGTACTCGTTGCTCCGAGTTCGTCGACTCTGATACGCAAAAACAAAATGGCCTCGAATTTAAAACTTAATCTAAAAATCCACTTCTTATGTCACGTGAGCCTAATATGTGCTCATACATACACAAGTTACATATGTATCAATTGTTGATTAATTAATAGTTAACACAGTTAAACAAGGAAACTATTTGCTTCAATGGCGTGAAAAAAAAAACTACGGTTAATACAGTCATCACTCCAACAAGCCAGTGCATATACTAGGCAAGAAAAGTTTTCTAAAATATCGTACTCGCTTTGAGTAGTGTGCAATAGACCGTTAATTGCATATTAATGATCACATACTTTTTATGTTCCTCGTGCCAAGCGGAATCTTTGAAACAACCAAATGATGAACGTCTCCTCGAGAGTTATGCGATACTTATTTTTTTTTAATTTTAGTTGTTATCTGTTGTTGAAATTTCAAAACAGGTATAATATAGATTAATTATTATAAATTAGAAAAATTTTTCTTTCATTCAAATATTTGTAATTGTATAAAACCTGTGAGTTCTACAAATAAATAGAAATCTGTCTCCCTTAAAAAGTAAAAAAGGAAAAGGTAGTGAAAGGGAGAGCGTATCTTTTGATGCTCATAAAACTACGCGCATCAAACAATGCTTCCCTTTTCCCCTATCCATTCCTCGATCAGTTCAATCAAACAAACGAGATTCATTATATTGGTTAAACAACATATAATCGATGCAGGGTTTTGTAGTACCGTTCAAAAAAATAGTCATCACAAAATATAAAAGAAAAGTAAGATATGTGGCATTGCAGGTGAAAAGACGGGGTTGCCATGGGGTATAAGTATAGTCGTCGTCAGATGATGAAATTGAAAACAGATAAAACAGAACGGTGGCATCTCCCTTGCAATGATTTGTTAGTATATTATATCATGTATTATGAGTGTCAAGAATTGTGCGTTGCACATGATTTGTTTGCACTTGAGTGAAAAAATCGAGGGGATAAACATCACAAAAGTCCACCATGAAAGGGATTGGGGACAGGTTGGCGTTTGGTGAAATAGGTAAGTAAAAGTGTATGTACCTCTAGGGGGAGGGGGTCCAAAAAGAAGGCGCTCGAGCAGCTGCACTTGTCAGTGCGCGAGGGTTAAGCATAAGTATATACGTGTCACGAGCACTGCTAGACTCGGCGGTGGCGTCGATTTCGCAACTGCAATCGTAGTTGTAAGTATGCACATTTACCGTATGGCGTTGGGTTTGGGAATGCGATTTCTTTTTTTTTTTTTTTTTTTTTTTACCTTCGAAATCGAAAGGTGGTATGATGTCACGTATGTCTGTGTGTAATGGGTGCAGTTTTGGGTTTAAGTTCAGTAGAAGCTCAAATGTACTTACATTTGAATGGGGAGCTTTTTTATAACCATAGATCGAAAGTAATTAGGGACAAGCTTTTGCGAATCTTAATTCCACGAGGATAATTTTTGTTGTAATTCCTGAGTAGCGAAAAAAAAAAAAAACGGATGCAGGCACATAGTCAGCTCGTCAAATTATCTATAAGTATGTATAAGCGACTAGTGATAGTGTTCACTCGTAAAAGTTTAGTTGCTGCCTTTGTAGACTAATTCATATATAACCAATACTTTTTTTTTTACTTTTATCACACTTAAATGATATTTTAACCAATCAAAGCTTATTTTCGTACGGAAAAATCACCTTGTCAACGACTGAGGAACAACTTTTGGATTCTCGAGATAAATTTTTTTTTACTTGAAACATTTATAAAGTTGGTAAATGCACCATAAGGAGAACCGCGAGTTTTTTTCTTTTTTTTCTTGGCCAAGTTATTTTTCGATCGACCATTCCGAGGTAGGCTAATTGTTTTCCTAATCAACTGTGATTTTTCAAAGAAACGACTAAAGTTTGCAAATTAATTTCACATAAAGTGCAAAAGAGACTGTATGGATACAAGTATACCTGCAATTGACGCTATGTCACGAGAGAGAAAAGGGTCGGTGGGGGGGAATTTCGCGAGTTTCAATATGGAATTTACACACCTATGGGCACTCGGCAAAGCATTTGAATGGGTACTTTGGCGCATATATGACCGTTTTGCAACCTCGATTGATTTCGCGCGTGCACTTTTTCTCCAACAAATCGATACGTATACATGGATATACATGTGTGCAGTACCTACATCTGATGTGTCTTTTTCTTTATTTTATTATTATTATTATTTTTTCTTTCCATTGGCTCGTTTCATTTCACACGACCCACTGCCAGTTTCGAAAGTATACGAATTGAGCGGCTATGTACGCGTCCCACTTTGCATGCACACGAGATAATAAACGTGCTTTTGGAAACGAGAGGTGTCCGATCGCGGACTCGAGATTGACGACTCGAGAATTAATTGACTCCAAGGTTTGTCGCCTGAAATGAAATCCTGATGTGTATGCAGGTACGTACTTACGTATGTTTAGAGAAAAATCGGTGGCCTCTCGGTCGAACGATTATATTGTCACCGCGACACAGGGGCACTCGCGGTTGTCTATCCACGAACTTTACCACGCATCGTCAGCTCACGGGATCTCACGAAACACTGGCGAAACCACCACGCCGACACATGTATACCCACCGAGTGTAAAAACATGGTCGTCCCAGAAAGTGGAATCTTGTGGCTGTGTGTGACGCGAAACCAGCCGCTTCTGTGAGGTACGTTACACGGATGTATTGAATCATATGCAAATCGTCGGATAAACGTATCGTGTGTCAAGTTGGGTGAAACAAAAAACATTTATCGGTGACACGGTGTGCGTATAACACACACCGTCCGAGACATCATCATCATCATCATCATCACCTTGTTTTAGACTTGTCGGAACAAAAAGTTTTTGGTTTTTTTTTTTTTCCATCGCAAACATCACTCTTTCAGCTTTTCGCGATCTTCCTTGAGTACAGGGAAGAATATTTCTTCGGGACAAGCCGAACACATTAACCACTCGCAGTTGGAGGGACTCGTATATGATCTCAACGTATCGTTTTCACGCAAAAGCATTCCCGTACACGAGAAAATTTCACAACCACCGCGTCGTCCGAAAATTTATCATTCCCGCGATGTTCCTGCGCGGGTGTCGGATGTACATTTACCCGAAGCAGCTATAGCAAACGTCGATCCATAATGGATGGACCGAGCTCCGGCGAGGCAATATTCCCGGATGAACTCTGCAGCGCCGAAACACCGAAACTGCGTGCATTTATATTTACATAAACACGCGCTTGTGGCTCTTCGATCACGTATCCGCGCGGAACGTTATAAAATTGCACGCGCGCGTATATATACGTACGATACATCCCGGAACGGATTCGGGTAGATAAAACCTGTACAGTGCTGATATTGCGGCGCAAGCTCGTTAAGCATAATATTACCCGCAAAGTTGGGTATATGCATATATACAATGTGATGTCGATGATATTTCCTTAAGCGAAATTTCATATGGGAACGCTTGTGTGCGCGCGCGTGTTTTTGCGATTTGGGATTGGAATAGACCCGGGGTATCGTATTATTAGATGCGAAAGAGACATGGGTACACCCTCGTACCTGCCACATCATCCACTTGTACTTTATACGCGGACACGATTTCCTACAATTTTCAAAGACTTTTTCTTCCTTTTTTCTTTTAGACAGTACTATTGGTGATGTGTCTCTGACATTATGGTTTCTAGCTCGGTGGGTGGTTTCTTCCGATAACGTGTCATCCAGAACAGCAACCCAACATGAAACTCATCAAGTGAATCAATCGTCAGCCCTTTACTCCTAACAAAATTGTTCTTGCAAACCCCTCAAAGGTAGTAGTACACCCCACGTACCTACATATATATATAAAAGAGCAAAGTCGAGCCAACGTTGCTCACATGGTGATAAAAAACTCGATTTATTTCCTCAGCCTTGCTGCGTTCGCAGATCGAAGTGTACGGGGGTGGAGCACAAGCACATACATACGGTTTTCTAAAAACAAAATGGTCCTTAATATGTTCCTTTTCGTGGGAGATTTTGCGTGCCATTTTCCTTCTCTGCGCGTTGTACAGGTGTGGGCGAGAAAAATCAGTGTAGATTTAATAAGTAATTTCCCCGAAATGATTGGCGGTTCTTGGCAATGTTGTACAGATTACATGGTACACGCGTTTAACGACTGGTACAATTTTTAACGTGGGTAGAGTTTGCAGGGGCTGGTCTTGAGAACAGGTGTAGTTTTCTAATCTCACAGTGGAAAAAAGGAGCAAAAATTTCATAATAAATCGAGAAGCCGAGTCGATCCCCTTACCCTCGTCATTGGAATACCATCGTGCAAAAAAGGTTCTCGGATTTTCGATCGAAACTCCCCATTAACGCCAAAAGGGGCGAAAAACAAAGGTCCCATCTTTATTATCGCGGCAGATCCCAAAGATAAGCTCCTCCTCTTCGTCTTCTTACCGATTCGCAAATGGCGTAATTGAGAAATCCCAGGGCGCGCTATCCCCCCATCCCTTTTTATCCGCGCTCGCGTGACATAAGCGACCGCGAGCCCGACTCTTTCGTTACCTCACGAATTCGTGGCGTCTCTCCGGGCACATATCGCCGTGTATATACCTATGATACACGTACATATATGTATATGCCCACCAGCGAGGGCACTGTCAAATGTGTGCGGTGTACAAATTACAGTGAGCGGTCGCGTGCACGAGCGATTAACGAGGCGCTTAAGAGTTTAACTGTGTGTGGCTTTGGAGCCTCAAGAGAGAAAGAGCAAGCATTTTGCGGTTTTTTTTTTTTTTCATAACTTTTGTTTTTGTTTTTGGAAGGTGAAATAAAAAGGCGCCCGATCGGTGGAACGATAGTAACGAAAGCCGCAGGGAATGAGAGACGAATATTTATTGTTGCAACAGTGTTAGAAAAGTACTGGAAATGTTACTTTCGATGAAAAACTGCTTTGTACCCTACGTCGTTTCTAATCAGACGAGGTAACGTTTACTTGGGTGATTGTTGAAATCTTTGATACAAAGTTAGTAATGGTACATCAATCGAGTCCAAAAGACCAAATTTTAGAGGACGAACGTTGCTTCCACCATATGGCGATTAAAAACCACCAGCAAGTGGTACCAATGACGCGTGGGCTGCACAAGTTCCTTTTGTGCCGGTGTTGGCCAAGTATTAGCGATTTGCCATCTCGGAATTCCTATGGGCTATAGCCACCCGCGACATTTCGTATTCTCGTCTATTACGTACACCTATGTGCACACGTGTGAGCTGCACCTGCGCCGTGACTCTGATACTTTTACTTATTCCCCGTTTGTATTTTCCACGTGCGTATACCTTTCGTGCGTACCTCCACGTAATGTGCCAACGTACACGATTTATCATCGAGAGGGTGCGTATTAACATCTATTACACGCACATGTATACTTTTCTCGGATGAATTTTTTGTTTTACGTAATACACAAACACAATCGATTGTACGGGTCGAGTAGCCATTTCTATAATCATCCGTGTTCAAATATGTTAGGTATTCATGCAAATTTCACGAGAAGCAGCAAAGTACTACATTATACTCTTGGACACGTACGGAACATTTCGTTCAATTTGGGCATGGATAGTCCAACGATTGCATTGTTGACTCATTGTCTTTGCAAGTCCAATGATTTAAATAGCCAGAATTAGATCACCACAAAATATAAGCAAATGTAAAGTGCTGGCTTCGAAAACTATGGTGTCTAATTTATCCTTGACGATCCTTCTTTTTTTCCCACTTGAACAATTTAATCCCGATTCAGACAACAGCTCACTTTTCTCGTTTCGCTACCGCAAATCGACCCATCAAACGTCAGCAATCATCGATCAGAGAGAAAAAAACCAAAAAAAAAAAAAAACCTAAAAACCTCCCAGCCCTCGCGCCGACAAAGAGAGCAGCCACACTTTATCCATCGACAGAAAGAGAAGAAGCAAAAAGGAAGGGAGATAACCAGACACCCGTACAGCGTTACAATAGTGCACTCAAAGACTCGGGGAGGAAAAAACAATGCGGCCAAGCTACCA